ATTTATTGTCTTTTATTAACTGTATTTATTATTTTCCTTTTAATGCTTTCCCCATGAATACAACACCTTAAAAGTACCTTGGGTTATTAAATTAATGGCCGTAAGTATTTATTTTATTTATTTGTCGTAATTTAATATAACATTTGCGGTGGAGTTATATTTCATTTATCACTTGGGGTGTAACTTTTACAGATTCTTTGCTGGGGGGGTTTTGTACGCTTACAAAACATTTCTTCTATGAACAAAAAGTCTTTTAATCCATACTTTTGCTGCACATTGTAGATAGAATACAATTGTTGCGCTACAATCACCACTTTATAAACAAGCGATAAGATTTACTGGTGAGAACATAACCATCAAAACGCGTCCATAAAGTGTTCGGATCGGGCTTTGTGCTTGGGGGGCAATATCTTTGCGAAAGTCTTAGGTCCGGTCCCCGAAGGAACTTCCATTAAGCGTCTTTAAGGGTCTCTGCTCGATTTAACGCTGCGTCGCTGACCTAGATGGTGTAGATAATGGCCGAGTGGCAGTTTGCAAGGCCAACTAATTAAAACGGCGGTCGCGGCCCGTCATTAACAAGTTCGTACGGGTATCCGTGTGTGTGTTTTGCTGGCAACTTGGCAAACACTAAGTTGCACGGCTACACTCCCGATTCGCGCTCCGTAATAATCGGTTTTATCTCCAAATTAAATTTTGACTCGCAGAATCCAACTTCTTAATTAGGAGTTTACCTGCTTTATTATTCCCAGGTTTATTTAATCGTGGTTTTAGTTTTCCTTCTCCCGGGCTCTAAATTAGACTTTGGTTTACTTTATAAGCAAATCTTAAATCATATTTAACTAATTTAAACTTTATGTATGGGTGAATATATTGAGATATTAGTGAAAATGATTATTTTTGAATATTAGAGCTTCATGGAAGATAGCTTCAAGTTATTGTATCTTTCGTCACCTTAATATTTTTTTAAAATACAATTATTGTACATACATAAAATATTTAAAAAAAATCTACTTACTGAGATATTACACTTCACGGTTGATAGATTTTTAAATAGCAAATTAATGAACTTAAACTTTGGAATTATAAAACCGCAACACTCTCATCTGCATATAAATTCTAACTGACCTTCAGGAATCACATGCATCTATAATGTAAACAGAGGTTTTTGCTTATTTAAAATGATTAAAGCGCCATCCGTTGCATAAAATTTAAAGCAAAAACATATTCACGGAGGATAGAATCAATTTTTGTAACACCTACATAAATGGTTATAAAATTATTTCTTTTAATTTTTAATAATATTTTATATTTGATTCAATTGCTTTGGATGTGTTAAATTTACTTAATGAACTGATATTTTTAGTATGCTTTTACTACCTCAGATATTTGAAAACATATAGGTTAACCTAGAAATAGTAACAGTCACGGAGGATAGGTTTTAGACTTTTAAAACATTGTAAATGTTAAAAATCTGGAACCTGAGCTGTAATATCTACTTAATTTTAAAAGATCAAAACACAACAAAAGTGTAGGTCAAACTCATTTAGTTTTATTAAATATCACGTGGTAACACCATCGGGGGACAACATATACTTGATGATGATAGAATAGGATTTGACAACCTTAAACTTATTAAGGAAGTTGGGGAACCAAGCCTGCTAGATAGTTATACGAGGTGTGTTGAGAAAATAACGGGAATTGTTAAATTTCGCGGGTTCGGAGGGTCATTTTTTTTATTATGTTGGTATACATGTCCCCGAAGTATGATACAAATTTTAGCTGTTTTCATTGTGGCAGCCGCTAAGGTTAGACGTGTTTTATGAGCTCGACGATTTTCGTTCGTTAAAAGAAATGGATCAAAGAATTTGGTATCCAATTTTGCTTAAAAAATTAAATAAATTCTGGGAAATGTTAACAAAGGCCTATAGTGAGTATAAGTAAAACAAGAGTTTACAAGTGGTATAAGAGTTTCCAAGATGGCTGTGAAGACGTTGAAGATGACGAACGCCCCGATCGCACAAGCACATTAACAACCGATAAAAACATGGAAAAAGTGGAAGAAATGGTTATAAACCATCAGAGAAGTCGCTGATGATGTTGGTATATCGATTGGCTCATCCCATGAAATTTTTTCGAATGTTTTGGGTATGAAACGCGTGGCAGCAAAATTTGTTCCAAAATTGTTAAATTTTAAACAAATTTTTTGTCCAAAAACAATACTGTAATGATGCCCCAGCCTCCATATTCGCCAGATACGCCTCTGTCTGACTTTTTCCTATTCCCAAAAATAAAGAGAACCTTAAAGGGCCGTCGTTTTGCAAGCATAGATGACATTAAAAGCGCATCGCTGAAAGAACTAAAGACTATCCCAAAGATCAAGTTTTAGAAGTGTTTAGAGTATTGGAAGAGGAGCTGGCACATGTGCATAAAATCTAATGGGACTATTTTGAAGGCGACAACATTAATGTAGACGAATAAATACATATTTGTTTCAAAAAACGAAAATTCCCGATATTTTCTGAACACACCTCGTAAAGAATGTCAAATTCAGCTAAATTTAACTCTACAAATATCAACTGTATTAAGAATATCAACTTAGGCTTAGTATTACATTTAAAGGATAACATTTCGTCTTTCCAAAGTAAACTTTTAGCAATAAAATTACATAAAAGGTTTAAATTAATTCGGTCAAAGCTTGCATCCTGTAACGGGCCGCTGTTCGGAAAGTTGCGATTCCTTTGTGAAGACAATCGCTTTGTTATTTATTCGTGGGACAGAAATTTTAGTGAGGGCCTTTGAGTAAAGGAGCCTCCGGTCCGCAATTATCCTTAAATCGTCGTAAGCAAGTCGACGCTTCAATAACACGCTGCGATTGTTTGTTAAAGGACAATGGCAGGGTTATTGTCTAAATGAAACTCTGTCTTGGATTTATCCTTCCTACATTGGATACTTTGCTTTGCATACACTTTGAATTTGCATTGCTTTAAGTTTTTACGGACTTATTCTAAAATTATATGGATTGTCAACAGAGTGTTAGCAAAGTGGTAGTAAATTAGTTCAAAAGGACCAGCATAAGCCTCTGATTAGAAGGATGTATCCCGGATAATAAACGTTATGAGAAAATTGAATATTAGTTTCGCGCCTGGAGCAACAAGGATTTGCTCCCAGACGGGGACCGAAGACCGTGGCAGTCCCCACATCAAATAGATTTTCTCGCCTTGAACACACAATTCTCCGATGTCGGGAAACTTGTCTTCACCCGCCCGGATTCAATGCAGGTAAGTTTGTGATTTAATTAATTAAATTACCAACTCGATTTGCAAATAATTAGCGTGGAGGATTCTTGTTTGGGCTATAAGGAAGGCGTTTAGATCAAAGGTCCAGTATTAAGTACCTATTAGGTATAAGGGCATTTTTGGTAAATATGAAAAAGACAATAATAAATGTAAATGAAACACATCTTTATAAAACATTTATAATTCAATAAATAAAAGAAAATATATCTCAATTTACAAAATTTCGTTCTTTTTCTCCTTCTTTTCACCCTTAAGGGCCTGCTGTATTTCCTCCAAAGTCTTCCCCTTGGTCTCAGGTACAAAATAAACAGTCAGAATGGTTCCAATTAAGCTGCTTAGAGAAAACAACAGAAAAGGACAAAACAGTCCATAATTGGATTCCAAAATATGGAATAATTTTGTCAAAGAACCCACAAGTACCCCAAAAATAATTGTGAGAAAGCACAGCCCTTTTGATTTAATACTAGCTGAGAACAGTTCTCCCAACATTAGAGTGGGCACCACCCCTAATCCAAAGGAGTACGTAAAAACAAAAACCATCATGCCAGCCAATGGTACCCATTTAAACGAGGACAAATCAATTTCAATCTGGTAGTCATCAATGTAGAAATAGCAAGACAGTAAAAATAGAACTACACCTGAGAAGAATGAAGACACCATGTAGGCAGGTCTTCTGCCAAATTTATCGATAGTGAATCCTGCTATAAAGTTCAGTATAGAAATTGAAGCAGTGAATATAATTGAGGCGTTACTTGGGGACATATTGGTACCGGCTTTGGCAAATATGAATTGTGTGTATATGGCGAAAACTGATATACCACCAAGTTGTTGGGATATTCTTAGGAATAGTCCTGCATAAAGAGCTTTTCTGTAGGCTATATTTTTGAAAAGATCACACCACGTGCCTGTCTCTGACATCTGCCGAGCCACATCGTATTTTAATTGAAGGAAATCTTCTTCTATATTATCCTTTCTAGTTAACCACTTTAGGGCTGCTTTGGCTTCCTCTTCTTTCCCTTTCATAACTAAATAGTATGGCGACTCGGGAAAAAAATAAAATATTATCAAGAAAACAATGGGAACCACCAAAACGATGTAAGCAGTTTGAACAATGCTAAATTTGTTACCAATGATATTTATCAAACATTGCCCAAAGTAGATGTTGAACGTCAGGTTATTCCCCCATCTACCTCTCACCTTAGGATTCGAAACTTCCCCAATATACATGGCAAAGCCGTGAAAAGACACCCATCACCGAAACCGTTAACACACCTCGACAAATAGAACACATACACATTATTCGCCACCGATACTAAACTCCATGCGACAATTTGTATCACACCCATTATCATGATCACCTTCTTCCTGCCTATCCGGTCATTTAGACTAGAGAAGAGAGGTACACTGAGCATCATGGTGATTGGCGGTAAGACCTTGAAGTAGGAGGCTTGGCCTTCGGTGATGTCATAATTTTCTTTATCCGTAATTATTACAGGTGACGATGGGGATGTCTACAACATAGTGATGTTGTATGCTATTAGGAAGGCGTTTTAGGCGTTTTAGGTCAATAGTATTAAGTACATATTAGGATACATATAAAAAAGTTTTCGTCTAAAGATTATCTATTGGGTACACTAAGAGAAATATTTCTTTTGAAGAAACATTTTTGGTAAATATGAAATAATAAATAATAAATATAAATGAAACACATGTTTATAAAACATTTATAATTCAATAAATAAAAGAAAATATATCTTAATTTACAAAATTTCGTTCTTTTTCTCCTTCTTTTCACCCTTAAGGGCCTGCTGTATTTCCTCCAAAGTCTTTCCCTTGGTCTCAGGCACAAAATAAACAGTCAGAATGGTTCCAATTAAGCTGCTTAGAGAAAACAACAGAAAAGGACAAAACAGTCCATAATTGGATTCCAAAATATGGAATAATTTTGTCAAAGAACCCACAAGTACCCCAAAAATAATTGTGAGAAAGCACAGCCCTTTCGATTTAATACTAGCTGAGAACAGTTCTCCTAACATTAAAGTGGGCACCACCCCTAATCCAAAGGAGTACGTAAAAACAAAAACCATCATGCCAGCCAGTGGTACCCATTTAAACGAGGACAAATCAATTTCAATCTGGTAGTCATCAATATAGAAATAGCAAGACAGTAAAAATAGAACTACACCTGAGAAGAACGAAGACACCATGTAGGCAGGTCTTCTGCCAAATTTATCGATGGTGAATCCTGCTATAAAGTTCAGTATACATATTAAACCAGTGAATATAATTGAGGCGTTACTTGGGGACATATTGGTACCGGCTTTGGCAAAAATGAATTGTGTGTATATGGCGAACACTGATATACCACCAAGTTGTTGGGATATTCTTAGGAATAGTCCTGCATAAAGAGCTTTTCTGTAGGCTATATTTTTGAAAAGATCACACCACGTGCCTGTCTCTGACATCTGCCGAGCCACATCGTATTTTAATTGAAGGAAATCTTCTTCTATATTATCCTTTCTAGTTAACCACTTTAGGGCTGCTTTGGCTTCCTCTTCTTTCCCCTTCATAACTAAATAGTATGGCGACTCGGGAAAAAAATAAAATATTACCAAGAAAACAATGGGAACCACTAAAACGATGTAAGCAGTATGAACAATGCTAAAGTTGCTACCAATGATATTTATCAAACATTGCCCAAAGTAGATGTTGAACGTCAGGATATTCCCCCATCTACCTCTCACCTTAGGATTCGAAACTTCCCCAATATACATGGGCAAAGCCGTGAAAAGACACCCATCACCGAGACCGTTAACACACCTCGACAAATAGAACACATACACATTATTCGCCACCGATACTAAACTCCATGCGACAATTTGTATCACACCCATTATCATGATCACCTTCTTCCTGCCTATCCGGTCATTTAGACTAGAGAAGAGAGGTACACTGAGCATCATGGTGGCTGGCGGTAAGACCGTGAAGTAGGAGGCTTGGTCTTCGGTGATGTCATAATTTTCTTTATCCGAAATTATTACAGGTAACGATGGAGAGAACCATGAGAACGCCAGGCCGCAACATAGTGATGCTAAGCTACCTATAAGAAATAATATTTGTTAGGGTAAATAATTTCAAATGTTCTTAATATTTTTAAAAACCTACAACTTTCACGCCGAATCTGTGAAAACGTGAAAAGAGTGAAAGCAGACCTTTCTGAAGAGATCATCACAGAATAATTTTGTCATCTAGGATTTTTGTGAATATTTTGGAAACCGACGTTCAATTGTATTTCTGTTTTTACAATTTTAATAAGAAAAAAAATGCCATAAATTTGATAATTTAACCGACTTTGTAGCTCCAATAATAACGTAGTTAAAATGGTAGAAATGATCAGCAGATAACATTGAACACGGTGTATATTAATATATATGATATCACCATTCTAAGGTACTTATTTTTAAAATTAAATGTGCTGTTATCACTATAAGTGGGTTTTATCAATTTCATATGCACAAAGGTGTTAATTAAAATATTACAATTAACAAATGTCAACTGTCAACGGATAACCTTACTTTTTCCAAATTTCAGGCTGTGCCTAAATTGCACTGTTGCTAACTTCAGCCCGTCACTAAAACTCCACAGCTTTTTAATAGTGGAGTAGATAAAATTAATAACAATTATGCTAATAGTAATAATAATAATTGGGTTTTATTTTTTTAAAGATTTTTTCATTTTTAAGGTTTTCTTAGGTTTTTATAGTTTTTTTTTTATTTCTTAATATCGATATAAAAAATAAATTTTAATAGTATCTGAATGAAAAAAAATCTTGTTTTAAAGTTGCAAAGCTGGTAAATAATTGCATAAATAACTATTAAAAGTATATACTTACTTATAAAAATTGCAAAAATTTGTGGCCATTCGTAGCCATTATCTTTCCCTTTAAAATCATTATGTAAACAATTATTTGACAGCTTCTTTTCCATCGTCATTTTTTTTTGTCTTAAAAAACTATTGAACTATTCATTTATTACTAAGCATTTCTGGGACGTTAATTTTGGAAACAAATTTTGTTTGTTGCGAAATGTATGTGGGTACAGTTTGTGTCTATAGTATTATTTATTATTAGTGTTGCCAACTTGTCACTTTAAAAAATCCCTAAATTTGGGTTAAAAAATTCCCCACAATTCCCTAGTTTTTAATTGGTGTAGGGCCACTTATATTTTACCATACTTTATACTTTTTTAAACTTAGTTACCTATACTCTGAATCTATAGTTTATAATCTCCCAATTTGTGTTTGACCAGTGGTACTATACTATATTACTCACAATACACCAGCTTACAAATAACAACTTTTTAAAAGTTAGAAAGTGGCCATTTCGATTTGGAAATGGCCAACTTTCTCAATCGTTCAACAATATAGGTACTACATATACTATATAATATTTTTTTATTATTGTAAAATAACATTGGTGCGTTATTTAGGGCAATGACTGTACAATTTTTTGGACATACAAAGGTCAGTTAAAGATTATCAATTATCAATTATGTCATATTTGTTTTGAATTGCATTATCCAATTAGGAAATTTTATTTAAATGCTTCAAATTACATGTTATTGTAGAAGGCAAAAGAAAAATGAAACAGGGCCTTTTAGCGATTTAAAAAGAGGTGGACATATTTTCCAATAGATTTGACACTTTTTCCGTTCCCCAGAAACTCCAATGGACCACGAATGTGAAACACCCTGTATATTATTACCACCATGATTATCTACCAAGCATTTATTTATTTTAAGACTTTATTCACTTCGTTGGTGGCTTCTGGAAGATCAGCTGTATAAATTGAGAATAAGATGGGTCCCAGGATGCTCCCTTGAGGAACTCCATATTTTGCTACTGCTACAGTAGACATATTTTCATGTAAATCTCGATTTAAAACAACCTGACAATTTTTTAACATCCAACCAAAATTTGTTTATATTTATATTTATTTAAATTTATATTTAACAAAAATTTTAATGATTCCCCAGAACGATAAATACGTTAATGGGCAACCTTGAAAAAAACAAAGCTTGTAGTGTGTTGTACGAATGGAACCATTGCGTTTGATTTGCAATGATTTTATTCAAAAATTTAATGCATGTTTACCAACATCACAGAAGACAATGGCCACAAATTGTCAGCATTCTTGTCGGTGAGTAATAATTTGATTACACTTTTATTTCTTATTATTGCATGAATTTTATTTTAGCATGCTTTTCTGGAGTAGTATATGGCCTTTCATTTGCTTGGACGTCACCTTCGATGTGGGTACAGTTTGTGTCTATAGTATTATTTATTATTAGTGTTGCCAACTTGTCACTTTAAAAAATCCCTAAATTTGGGTTAAAAAATTCCCCACAATTCCCTAGTTTTTAATTGGTGTAGGGCCACTTATATTTTACCATACTTTATACTTTTTTAAACTTAGTTACCTATACTCTGAATCTATAGTTTATAATCTCCCAATTTGTGTTTGACCAGTGGTACTATACTATATTACTCACAATACACCAGCTTACAAATAACAACTTTTTAAAAGTTAGAAAGTGGCCATTTCGATTTGGAAATGGCCAACTTTCTCAATCGTTCAACAATATAGGTACTACATATACTATATAATATTTTTTTATTATTGTAAAATAACATTGGTGCGTTATAATAATAAATAATTTAGGGCAATGACTGTACAATTTTTTGGACATACAAAGGTCAGTTAAAGATTATCAATTATCAATTATGTCATATTTGTTTTGAATTGCATTATCCAATTAGGAAATTTTATTTAAATGCTTCAAATTACATGTTATTGTAGAAGGCAAAAGAAAAATGAAACAGGGCCTTTTAGCGATTTAAAAAGAGGTGGACATATTTTCCAATAGATTTGACACTTTTTCCGTTCCCCAGAAACTCCAATGGACCACGAATGTGAAACACCCTGTATATTATTACCACCATGATTATCTACCAAGCATTTATTTATTTTAAGACTTTATTCACTTCGTTGGTGGCTTCTGGAAGATCAGCTGTATAAATTGAGAATAAGATGGGTCCCAGGATGCTCCCTTGAGGAACTCCATATTTTGCTACTGCTACAGTAGACATATTTTCATGTAAATCTCGATTTAAAACAACCTGACAATTTTTTAACATCCAACCAAAATTTGTTTATATTTATATTTATTTAAATTTATATTTAACAAAAATTTTAATGATTCCCCAGAACGATAAATACGTTAATGGGCAACCTTGAAAAAAACAAAGCTTGTAGTGTGTTGTACGAATGGAACCATTGCGTTTGATTTGCAATGATTTTATTCAAAAATTTAATGCATGTTTACCAACATCACAGAAGACAATGGCCACAAATTGTCAGCATTCTTGTCGGTGAGTAATAATTTGATTACACTTTTATTTCTTATTATTGCATGAATTTTATTTTAGCATGCTTTTCTGGAGTAGTATATGGCCTTTCATTTGCTTGGACGTCACCTTCGATATTAAAGATCACCCAGGATAAAGTTAACTATGACATAACAGAAAGAGAGGCATCCTACTTTACCATCATCCCCTATATAGCGATGGTGGTGGTGGTTCTTCCATTTTCGTACCTTAACGATATTATTGGCAGAAGAAATACCATACTTATCATGGCGATACCATGTATAATTTACTGGATAATTATAATATTTGCGAAGTCATTGTACATGTTCTACTTTGCGAGATTGCTTAGCGGTGTTACTGAGTTTCTTTTCATCTCACTGCCGATTTATGTTGGTGAAATATCATCACCAACGATTCGGGGTACCTGGGGAAATGCACTTTGTTTCTCCATCAACTTTGGAATATTTCTTATTAACGTTATAGGAAGCTACTACACAATACAAGTGACTGCGTACATATGCCTAGTGTTTTGTCTAGTATTTGTGGCCATATTCCCATTCATTCCTGATACTCCTTATTACTACATAATCAAAGATAAAGAACAAGAAGCTAAAGATACTCTAAAGTGGTTGTATCAAGAAGAAGACGTGGAAGAAAGGTACCAATCGCTGAAGTCCGATGTCCAAAGACAAATATCGGAAACTGGTACCTGGAAAGATCTATTTCAAATCCCAACCAACAGAAAAGCTTTAATAACCGGATTTTATGTCCAAGTGTCAATCCCATTTAGTGGCCTTACTGCTTTCATAGCACAAAGTCAACAACTATTTAACGAATCCAAAAGCAATGTGTCAGTGGAAGCTTCATCGATCATAATCACTGGACTAATAGCTGCAGCTTCACTATTCGCAGTGTATACTGCAGATTTAATAGGAAGAAGGAACTCCTACATATATTCCTGCCTAATTTGCACTTTGTTGCTACTAGTGGGCACCATTTACTTCTGGACTTCGCAACATAGACCCGACTTGGTCACCAACTTCCACTGGGTTCCCCTTACAGTGATGGTGGTGTTCTGCATCACTCACACTGTAGGAATCGGGGCTGTAAGTCTTCTGATGTTGGAGGAACTGTTTTCTGCAAGTGTTAAAACTAAAGCTCTGTGCGTATGTACTTTTATATTTGGGCTTACTGGGGCTATAAACAATGAAATTTTTAATGTTTTGCTGTTGACTTTCGGTATGTACTCAGCTTTTTTGTATTTTACTGTGACGTGCGCGATTTTGTTTGTTTTTTCGTTTAAATTGGTGCCCGAGACATCGGGAAAAACTTTGGAGGAGATTCAACAAGACTTAAAGAAGAACAAAATGTAGAAAATTTTACGTTTATAAATTTATAATTATTATAATAGCCTCAATTATTTTATTAAAAAACATCTTATATAGGAAATATTAACATGCTTGCTTAAAGCCTTTGAAATTTTTACCGTGGTTAAATGTCACGTTTTATATTTTATGTATGGTATGTGCAATACTAAAACTTTACCTTGTATTTATGTATTATAATTGGAGATATAATTAATATAACACAAAAGAAATTATTTAAATAACTTCTCCACTACCATAACTAATTTTATATTAAATAAGGAAACCCCGATAAAACACCTATAAATAAATTTATTTGCAAAAGCAGCCTTGATTATAAAAAAGAAAGTCAGTCGCAGTCTTAAGCGGATAAACAACAATACTATGACTGTTTACAACAATCTGGTGCATGTGTATGAAAATCACAGAAAACAATGGCCCCAAATCGTCAGCATCCTAATTTGTGAGTAGTGGACATTTTTTAATACTATAGTGCGAAAAAAGTGTTTTTTTATTCGAAATTTAAATGATTTAATTAAAGAAAAAGTTATCTATCATTTTAAAATACCGGTCAGCGACCTGCAAAAGTATAAAAATCTTTTTTTTTTCTCAAAACAATCCTTGAACAATACTTCATTTCAAGTTCAAGTTTTTTCTTTTATATTTCTTTGTTAGCATATAATTTAAAACAAATATTCACCACCAGATTAAAAACTTTTAGTTAAGCGTTCAGTGAATTATCTGTCCCTTAAGCGTTCTCCAAATATTTCAAAGTATTTAAATATGGGCCATTTAACGGAAAGACAGAGAAATTCTCTGAGAGAATTGACGATTTAATTATCATAGGATATGGCAATAAAATTAAAACACAACAGGAAGTTTGCAATTTATTTAATTCAAATATAAATAAATATCCAGCTCGACCCATTACTCGTGCTAAGGTTAGTAAATTTGAACGGAAATTCAGAGAGACTGGACATGTCAAAGATTTTCCAAAACCTGGCCGTCCGAGTATTATAGAAGTATATTTGAAATAAGTTATTGTATCTTTTGACACCTTAATATTTAAAAAAAAATACAATTCCACATACATAAAAATTTATACAAAAATCTACTTACTGAGCTATTACACTTCACGGTGGATAGGTTTTTAAATAGCAAATTAATGAACTTAAACTTTTGATTTATAAAACAGCAACACTCTCATCTGCATATAAATTCTAAGTGACCTTCAGGAATCACATGCATCTATAATGTCGTAAACAGAGGTTTTTGCTTATTTAAAATGATTAAAGCGCCATCCGTTGCATAAAATTTAAAGCAAAAACATATTCACGGAGGATAGAATTAATTTTTGTAACACCTACATAAATGGTTATAAAAATTATTTCTTTTAATTTTTAATAATATTTTATATTTGATTCGATTGCTTTGGATGTGTTTAATTTACTTAGTGAACTAATATTTTTAGTATGCTTTTACTACCTCAGATATTTGATAACATATAGGTTAACCTAGAAAGAGTAACAGTCACGGAGGATAGGTTTTAGACTTTTAAAACATTGTAAAAAATAATTAATTGCGGTTAAAAATCTGGAACCTGAGCTGTAATATCTACTTAACTATAAAAGATCAAAACACAATAAAAGTGTAGGTTAAACTAATTTAGTTTTATTAAATACCACGGGGTGACACCATTGGGGGACATTTCGTGAGATTCACCCGTAAATATAATATTGTTTCATACTTTTGCCGGTCATTGCATATATATAGATTTTATCGCTAAAGAAAGTAATTCTTACAATGTGTTATTGACCTGGATTTATTGAATTGTAACTTATTAACATACTGATATTAATTTTTATAAAATAAATATTTTATATAAAAATTTACATGATTTAATTTTCTTAATAAAAACGTTGCCTTAAAAAATGTTAATCTAAGTACCTATTGTTAATTTTACATAAAACTTTTCTTAAAAACAAATTTTTTTTAATAAACTAGCTATAAATTTTTTTTCTTTAGTAATTGTATATGCTTAACACTTTGACATTTGAACACAAATAATTGAGGTTATCTATCTGTCAGTTTAACGTTAATTTAGTCTTATTTTTTTTTTTTGATAATAGGTTAACCACATAGTTATTGGACACTTAAGGAATATTATTTATTTAAAATTTATATATGCCTTAAAGGCATTGCCTTTTTTTTAAAGATTTTAGTTTTTTTCTTATAAATATGTAAAAAGGATAGTTTGTTTGATTAAACTTTATTTACGTTTATTTAAAAATAAAAATATTTGAATTTTTAATAATAGTTTTATAAAAACATGCAAAAAAGTATAGTAATTGGACATTTTATATAGTAATTGGACACATGGACCATAGTTATTGGACATACAATTTTTATATAAACATAACAACTTTACATCAAATAACATAAAATGTTAAATATTTTTTAAAGATAAATTGCTGTTTTAAGTAATTTTTTTTATTTCGTTTTTGTAAATATCCGAGGGGTCAACCACCCAAAGGGAAAACGTCCAGGGATTCCCATGTATTCCCATTATATTTTATAGTATTCCTATGTATTTCCATTGTATTCCTATGGTATTCCCCCTCTAAAATGTCCAGGGATTCCCAGGTGTGGGTGACCCCTCGTAAATATCATATAATTCATATATTTCTTTCTCGGATTCCCCATCCCTTTCCTTGATTCTGAAAGTAACTACTAATTCTTTGGTCTGACTTCTGAAATAGTTTGTTGCAAATATCATTAAGTGTATCTCTATTTGTGAAGCATTTATAATGTTTAGGCCAGAACAGAATGATTTATATATATCTAATATTTTTTGGGTGGTATGTTAAAAGTATTTTCCGAATCTATTAATTTTGTTGCATTAGTTTTTTATGTTCTCTATCATGCACTGTATTTAAATTACTTTTATTCTGCAAGATGTCCTGTGACGAAGAAATCACTATATTACTTACTCTCTAAAAATGAATTAGTCAAAAATGTCCCAGCGAAAAAGCAGCCACTAATAATTCTCGTCAACAGCAATTTGTATCCAGGACATTTAGCAGTCAATTCCTATGAAATATTATTCGCTGAATCCGAAAATGTCGTCAAAAGTTATAAAAGTAGGACAGTTTTTAAAATAAAATCAATTTTATATATAATATAAAATTGACTAAATCTCAAAAACTGATTAACTTTTATAGCTTTTGACGGTCTTTTCGGATTCAGGGGGCAATTTTACATAAGAATTGGCCATATGTCCAATAATAGAAATCTACATTTTTTATCAACCAGTAATTGGACACTGGCCATTTTACTGTTTGTTTTCAGAATTAAAATTAAAACGCATTAAAGTGACATTGTTTAAACCATAAGGAACACATTTATACCACACACTGATATGTACACTTTTTAGAAATACTTGTTATTGTAATTTAAACACAGCCCTGCTCTTAACAAGAAAACAAAAGTAACGTGCGAACTTTTTTGTCCTATATTGGATCCAGATCCAAAAATGAAAAAATAATAATTTTTACTGGCTAATTTTTAATTTAGCAACAGTTGTTCTTTCCATTTAAATGTTTAGTATTTAGTTTACTCTAAAAGTACTGAAATTTTCTTAACTAATATATTTACAAAGTATATATTAAAACATGTGTAGAGCCCAAAAATTCAAAAAAAATACTACATAGCAGTTTCATTTATTGTAATAGTTATTAAATTTTCAGCCTGTTTTTCTGGAGTGGTTTATGGTCTATCATTTGCCTGGACATCACCATCCATAGTAAAAATAACCCAGGATAAAGAAAACTATAATATAACCGAACATGAAGCGTCGTACTTCACAATCATTCCGTACGTAGCCACCACTCTAACTATACTGCCACTATCATACCTGAACGATATTATAGGGCGAAAACACACCATAATGATTATGGCGATACCATGTATAATATACTGGATAATTATTATATTCGCAAAGTCAGTGTACATGTTTTATTTGGCAAGGTTATTCAGTGGTGTAACAGAGTTCCTCTTCATTTCACTTCTCATGTATGTCGGTGAAATATCGTCGCCAACAATTCGTGGTACCTGGGGAAACGCTCTCTATTTCTCCGTGAATGTTGGAATACTACTGATCAACGTTATTGGAAGCTACAACACCATCCAAATGACTGCGTACATATGTCTAGGGTTCTGTTTAGTCTTCGTGGCCATTTTTCCCTTCATCCCGGACACTCCGTACTACTACATCATCAAAAATAAAGAGCAGGAAGCCAGAACAACCTTAAAGTGGCTGTATCAAGAGGAAGACGTGGAAGAACTCTATCAATCGCTCAAATCCGACGTACATCGACAAATATCGGAAACCGGTAAATGGAGGGACGTCTTCCAAATCTCAACCAACCGCAAAGCTCTGATAACCGGGTTTTACATGCAAGTGTCGCTTCCCTTTAGCGGATTAACGGCGTTCATCGTACAAAGCCAGCAACTATTCCAGGAATCCGGAGGAGAGGTATCAGCGGAAGCATCAGCCATCATAATAACTGCCATAATAACGGCAACATCGCTCTTCGCAGTACTAACGGCGGACAAGTTGGGGAGAAAAAACTCCTTCATAGGCTCATGCTTCCTCTGCATGGTTCTGCTGTTCATCGGAGTTGTATTCTTCTGGACGGAGCAGCACCATCCGAACCTCGTAGAAGGTTTCCACTGGCTTCCTCTGGTGATAATGGTGCTCTTCTGCATCATCCACACCATTGGAATTGGTACCGTTGGGTTTCTGATGATGGAGGAGTTATTCTCAGCCAGCATCAAAACCAAAGCTCTTATGCTGTGCACGTTATCATTTGGGATTACTGGCGCGATCAACAACGAGATATTTAATCTATTATTGCTCAATTTTGGTTTGTACTCGGCGTTTTTATATTTTACATTTGCTTGTGCACTATTATTTATACTATCCTTCAAATTAGTGCCAGAGACTTCAGGAAAAACTCTGGAGGAAATTCAGCAAGACTTAAAAAAGAACAACAATGACAATGTGGTTGTTTAGGTTTATAGACCTGTGAATTAATTTTCTTTTTGATAAATTGTGATTTTTATGATTAGTTTTAATATACAGGGTCCCTTTCTCTGTGGCTCGAGTTCTGGGACACCGTGTGTCTGCCATAACCTTGTTCTAAAGACTTATAATCGTATATGCCATCTAGACATTTGTATTACCCATATTGGATTGAATTAAATATATTTTTACTTATAATACAAAAATGTACTTACTTATAAATATTGCACATATCTGAGGCCACTCTTTGCCATGTTGAGGTGCTGTGAAATCTTTAGATAGCCGCTGTTCAATCTTCATTAAGACCTATTTGTTTCCACACCTAAATAGAATTAAACGTTTTTTGCTTAAATATGTAAAAAACTCTTTAAATAAAACAAGAAGATTAAGTATGGACTATTTTAGATATAAAATGAAACAAAATATTTAGTCAGGGCTTTCTTTCCCTTTATAAGATTAGTTAGTTATTTTATATCAACTACATTGTGTGATGCCATTTAGAATAATTTTAAATTTAAATTAAATAAATATTATAAAACTTTATACATAATTTTTTGTATACATAAGATAAAAAAAGTATTAGTGACGTAAATTAATTATATTCATTTGGTTTGTTTTAAGCCACACATTTAAGGGGATATCAAAATGTAGAAGATAACAGATAACATTTGGAAGTTCATTTTAACTGCATTAGCCATTGACTTGCCTGCATTGTCAACCCTTTTGACCTCAAAAGTGGTCCATTACATCAAGTCAAAATTATGAATGATCGAAGCCAAACTCATAAATTTTAACTAACAATTTCTTGGAGATGGAAAAGGATATTGATATTGATGACGTAACGAATTACACTTTTAGCTTAGAATATTGTCCAGCTAACACAAGAACAATTAAGACTACTATTCTAGTCGATAGGCTTCAAATTTTTTTTTTTTTAATTTAACATACATGTACATTTATAAAAACACATATCCATTAACATTGGAAAATAATAATTATAGCGAAAGCTAAAATAATGATCATTATAATATACCTATTAAAGCTAACGAATCATCATTTGCGAAATATATTCTAAAGTTTATTATTTTTATATGTAAGTATCAGTAAGTATTTATTTTTATTTTTTATAATTTTCACCATGATTTTCTATTGTAGAATTGTTATTGACAATGTATGTTTCAAGGAAAAAAATCTTTTTACTTTTGCACAAAACTTGATTTTTCTGTCCTAGTCATCTTCGCTGAGTTGATGCCACATAATATTTACTATAACTCAATATTTATTAAAGGTGGCTAATTGAAAGCCCATATGTATATACATTTTACTCGTAGGTACTTCTGGGGTTATATTTGTATTATCATTTCAATTAGCGCTGAAAACATCAGGGGAAGGAAAGGACAAATTTTAAATAAAATTTAATGACATAGATAGCTAATTAAAAATATTTAAAATTTGTATCTAGTACAAATAATTATACAAAAAAAAATCTATTTCCTTAATAAGCTGGAAATTACTTCATTTATATACAAGGCCTCACCTTTAACAACCAATGCAAAAAAATTAAAATAAAACGCTGATAAGTCAGAAATATGTTTTGGAAAAATATTGTGCATGCCATAAACCAACATAGAAAACAATGGCCACAAATATTGTGCATTTTAATTTGTAAGTAGATGTTAAAGGAGCTATTCTGTAGTGTTGGAGAAGAACTACATTCCATCATTATTTTTTATTTATTTATAGCTTGTTTCTCTGGAATATTATACGGTTTATCGTATGCCTGGATGTCACCGGCAATTTTGGGAATAACATTGGATGAAGAAAATTATAACTTAACAGAAAATGATGTCTTCTTGACTGTTATTCCGTTAACAACTGTAGCAATTGCAGCTGTTTTATTTTCATATCTAAATGATGCAATTGGAAGAAGAATAACCCTGATGATAATGTTGATTCCGTATATGATATTCTGGATGATTATTATTTACCACAAATGGATGTATTCGATTTATTTCGCCAAAATTCTTGAGGGTATCACTGAATGCGTCTTCATTTCACTTCCAATGCATATTGGTGAAATAGCATCTCCAGAAATAAGATGTAGTTGGGGATACATGCTTCCTTTCAGTAGGTATTTTGGAATATTTCTTCTTAATGTAATACTGAAATATAATACCATTAATCGTACTGCTTACATTTCCTTAGGGTTATGTATAATTTTCCTATCTATTTGCCCTTTTATCCAGGAAACACCCTACTATTATCTAATGAAACGTAAGGAGTCAAAAGTTAAGAATACTCTGCAATATATGTACCAAGAAGATGATGTACATGGAAAATATCAATCCCTTATGGACGATGTACATAGACAAATGTTTGAGCCAGGTACTTGGATGAGTCTCTTCACCATCCCAACTAACCGTAAAGCCTTACTAAGAGGTTTATACCTGCAAATGGCAATCCCTTTCAGTGGCTCTACGTGCTTAATACTTTACGGTGAAGAAATTTTTGAACAATCTGCAGATACGTTGTTTATCATTTATATGGGCACTTACTGCATTGCATGTATATTTGCAGCATTCTCAGTGAGCAAATTGGGAAGCAAGGTATCATTTAGGTACTCATCATTATTTTGTACAATATTTCTGCTAATACAAACCATATATTTTTATTACAAACATCATTCACCCGATTCGGTAGAAGGTTTCCAATGGGTACCTGTAACCATTTCAATGTTATTTTGCATTTCTCACGCTCTTGGTGTGGGAACCTTAGGTGTTCTCATGATGGGTGAACTTTTTTCACTGAGAGTTAAAAGCAAAGGTTTGGCCCTTTGTACTTTTGCCTATATTATTGCAGAAGTCTTCAACAACAAAATATTCAACGTCCTGCTCACCTTTTACAGCCTTTTTGCTTCACTATTATATTTAACGTGTACGTGTGGATTTTTCTTTTTGTTTTCCTTCCGGATGGTTCCGGAAACCTACAAAAAAACCTTGGGGGAAATTCAACAAGATTTTGCAATTAAATAAACCTTGCTTGCAATAAGGTAAATATGTTTATAATACATAAATAAAAATGATATGTAAATATATTAATAAGCATGTAAATATATTAAATATAGCAAATTTGGTTCAGTAAATTGTATTTTAATTTTATTTTATAAAGCTGTTTTTGTATTGTAATATATATACATGCAAATAGCATGACCATTGTGAAATTGTGTGGTGTAGTATTTTAATTTAATAAACCAAAAACTAAGGAATGTTTCCCAAGAATTTGATTGAATTTTTTGACCAGCAAAAAAGACAATGGCCACAAATTGTCAGCATACTTATTTGTAAGTATATATTTAACTTTTACAAAGGTTTTTGACGTCCTAAATCTGACCTCAAAAACATGGATAATCTTAGTGTCAAAATGTCTGCAGGTTCCTATTCTGGCATACTATATGGTCTATCCTTTGGTTGGTCATCGCCAGGAATCGTGCAAGTAACCAATGATAAGATTAACTACAACATAACAGACGAAGAAGCGTCATATTTTACTGTGGTACCCTACTTGAGCATGGCTGTATTAGTGGTACCGATTTCATACCTGAATGATGCTATAGGAAGGAAGAAAACAATTATGATCATGATAATCCCTTTCACAATAGGTTGGATATTAATTATATTCGCAAAGTCGGTGTATACTTTTTATGTTTCGAGGCTTTTCATAGGGGTAACTGAATGCCTGTTCATCTCTTTACCGATGTATATCGGGGAAATATCGTCTCCCAACGTACGGGGGATGTGGGGTAATGCTCTCGCGGTTTCAGTGAACTTAGGATTCCTCCTGATCAACATTATCGGTACCTACAACTCTCTCCTAGTGACTGCTTACATTTGTCTGGGTCTATGTTTGGTTCTCCTCGGGATTTCTCCGTTTTTGACCGACACCCCTTACTTCTACATCATAAAAAATGAGGAGGGGAAAGCCAGGAAGACCCTGCAGTATCTATATCAGAGTGAAGAAGTTGAGGATTTATACAAACTAATAAAATCTGATGTTGAGAGACAGATGTCCGAAAAAGGAACATGGATGGACATCTTTAGCATCAAAAGCAACCGTCGTGCTTTGATTTTCGGTTTATTTCTGCGTTCCTCGGTTGCTTTGAGCGGTGCAGTTTCTTTGACAGCTCACGGAATGGAAATTTTCACGGATAATGGACCTCTATCGCCACAAATGTCTTCTATTTATTTATTGTCTGTCGTGATTAGCACTTCTTTAGTTGCTGCCTTTACGATTAACAAGTTTGGAAGAAAGCAATCGTTTTCATATTCGTGCTTGTTAGCCTCAATTTCTCTCTTCATTTTAACCATATATTATTGGTTGGAAGAATTTCATCCCGACTTAGTTGTTACGTTATCTTGGATGCCTTTGTTTCTACTCACGATATATGCCATATTCTACGTGATGGGAATAGGCACCATCGGCATTCTCATGATGGAGGAATTGTTCTCCGCTAGCATTAAATCCAAAGCCTTGTGTCTGTGCACATTCGCAAACTGCATTGTTTCGGCTTTGGTTAACGAAATATTCAATGTTTTGAATCTGACCTTCGGTTTGTACGCCATGTTTCTATTTTTCTCCATATCTTGTGCAGCCATGTTCGTTCTATCTTTTTGGTTGGTGCCCGAAACTACCGGAAAAACTTTGGAGGAAATTCAACAAGATTTAAAGAAATAAACTACTTATCTCCTATATAGTTTTGCATTTACAGTTTTACCTTTATTTATTTGTCTGTTAATAAAAAAATATATACTTTCGTTGAATGTATTACTCAGTACGACAAAATTTGATTTTTTTCCCTCCCATTAAAAAGTTCTATAGATTTTGAAAATAGACTAAAAAATGATACCCGTGTCTCAATGAGAGTTTCTGAGGAACGGTTAAAGATATCGATTTTAAATTTTTAAAGCGTTTATAATCCAATTAAGCCTATTTCTCTAAAATATTTTAAACAAAATGCCACTTCCGGCTTGACCGGAAGTTACACCAACTTTGTTATTTTAAATGGAACACACCATATATTTTTACATTTTTAAATTCCACATAAAATTTTGAAAAAAATAACTGTACCATGTTCTATACCTAGAGTAAATAGTTTTGGAGTTATTAATTTTTTCCGTTAAAATATGACAAATGCGCGTCAATCAAAAATAGCCTATAACTTTCTTGCTATTAGGTTATTAGAGATGGGGGTGGAATTTTTGGAATCTTAAAACATTGCTTAAAAGATTCCATGTCAATTTCTTAACATACCGGGTGTTACATTTAAAATAAAAAAGTTATTAACGTTTCAAGTTAGCCCAATTTGCCCTGGATTTTCTCGGGTAATTTGTTGAAAAATGTTAAAGAATTGACATGGAATTTTTTAAACAATGTTTTAACATTCCAAACATTTTGCCCCCATGTCCGTAAACCTAATAGCAAACATCTAGAAAACTATTCACTTTAGGTATAGGACATGGTGTAGTAATTTTACTCAGAATTTTATGTAGAATTTATGAATGTAAAAATATATGGCGTGTTCTATTTGAAATAACAAAGTTGATGTCACTTCCGGTCAAACCGGAAGTTGCATTTTGTTCAAAATATTTAAAAAATAGACTTAATGGATTATAAACGCTTTTAAATTTCGAATCTGTATTATTTCCGTTCTACAGAAACTTCCAATGGACCACGAATGTGAAACACCCTGTATATCAAGTGGTGTTTTTAGGTTGTGATACTACTATAGATTCGAAAGCAATGTATAATCGTCAAACTAAAAGATCAAGATTTGTTTCCAACATATATTTAATAAAAAATAAATACAAATCTGTTGTTTTATTTAAAAAATCAAAAATTAAAACCAGAAATATTTTTTTTACTTAAAAAAAATAAAATTGTTATTTTCTTTAAGTATTTTTCATGGGAGGAAAATCGTGTTTTTCTGTGCTATTATTAAAATTCAATCTTATCACCTGTTGGAACAAACCACATATTTAGAGTTCGCTAAATATGTGGAACAAACAGAGATATCTCTGGGAACAAACTGTGAGTTGGTAGAACTGTGTTCCTAAAAGAAGAAGAAGACTAACCCTAAATATAAATAATATTATATTTTTATATTAAAAGCGATAAACTTGTTTGTAATGTTTAAAAAGCTTCCCAAACCGCTACTTATAGGTTCAGGCCTGGCAACGGTTCTCGGTGCGGCATGCCTCACAAAGTAAATATCCACAATTAATTAAGACATAAATTAAAACTTTTTAATTAATTAATAGGGAAATGATGGGGGAACCGCGCTACAGAGGCGACATACTGGCAGAAAATAAGGTTGTTATAATAACCGGCGCCAACACCGGTATAGGAAAAGAAACAGCCAGGGAACTGGCGAAACGAAAAGCAAAAGTTTATATGGCTTGTCGAGACCTGAAAAGATGTGAAGCTGTAAGTAGGTGATGATTTTATTGGTGATTTTATAAATTGCTACCAGTTTTGTAGGCTAGAGAGGACATAGTATTGGACACCAAAAATAAATATGTATACTGTCGAAAATGCGATTTAGCATCACTGGATTCAATAAGGGAATTTGTCGATGTGTTTAAAAAGGAACAAGATCGATTGGATGTTCTAATAAACAATGCTGGAGTTATGAGGACTCCAAAAGACTCCAAAACTAAGGAGGGATTCGAAATGCAGCTGGGTGTCAATCATATGGGGCATTTTTTGTTGACTAATTTACTCTTGGACACTCTAAAGGTAATTAGTTACCTTTAAATAAATAGTAAATAGGACTGGTTAAAATGTCCTCAATTAAATATTTTACATTAATTTATAACTTTAGCTATAATATTTATAAATAGAACTGAGTTTAAAATGCTTTTTAGGATGATAAAACACATTTTTACAAAAAAGGAAAATAAAAAGTGATGGGTAAAAATTTACCATCATATAAATTTGATATGTTTCGCAAAAACGACTTATTAGTCTTTAAAACTCATATTTTTTAAACTTTGATTCCAACATGTTTTTATATGGGTCATTTTCAAGAAACACCCGCTTTCAGGAAAATGAAGATCAAATTTTAACAAAATACATTGGTATCACAATGGACTGGGGTACACAAAGGAATCAGATAAAAACGTAAAAAAGAAACTATATAGGGTGGTACGATTTTAGAGTAATGCATAAACAAAATCCCTTGTAGTGGTGCTCACTTGCAGAATAACAACTTAGATTTCTAAATTATAGACACCCTTTTTCTTTGACTATAAGCTGGTGTCTTTTAGTACTTGTATATTGCGTGGAATTTTCCCTTGGATGTAATCTATATCATGAGTTGTAATCACAAATAATTTTAAATTGGTTTATCATAAACTACTTTTAATAAAAGCGACGGTAAATATCCACTTTGTTGTCGAAAAATTCTATTGCGTTACCCTAAATTCCATTGCGTTACCATAAGGTAACGTAATGGACTCGGTAACGCAGTGGACAAAGTTTTGTGAAACCATATTTAAAAAATAATAATAAAACATTACAGTCATTAATTACTCTCAATTAGCTTTAGTGCCCTAAAATAAACATAATCATGATAAAAAGTATTTTTTCTTACCTTATTTTTATTATTTTTTTGAGTAACTTAGCGGACAAACAATTATTACATTCGCACCTGTTTCAACTGATATCTTCTTCCTGATTGAATAAATAAATTCAGCTGGGTAATGTGTACGTCCGAACATCATTTGTTAATCACGTGAGTGCCAAAAAAGTTGCCATATATATGTTTTTTTTAATATTCTATCGGTAACGCGACGGACGTAACGGAACGGAAAAAATGTCAAATTTAAAAAAGTAGATTAAAATTAATTAATTTATATATAAATTGTTTACTTTATTAACTAAGGATGTTATGGATTGCTATAAAGCAACACAAAGTTCTGGTTATTCAATATTAAAAAAAAACATGTATGTAAGTTTTATAAAACGCTAATGGGACATGCGAAAATGTGTGTTTCACAAGTTTCAAAATGAAAAAAAAAATATTCTGAAATACCTAAACAAACATTTTCTGAAAGAGTTTACTAAGGGCTTGTTAGGCTTTCACTTGGTTTTTAAATCAATAAGATCCGATAATTTTTAACAAAGTTATTGGAATTAAAACTTACGGACAGCGGAAGGCGGGTGTTTTTTGAAAACGACCCATATATATTTATATGAAAAATAATTATATTTTGTTAATTATCTTCTCACATAAATGCATTTTTTAACTATAAATAGAATCGCGTTAAAAAATAATAATTATTGAACTAAAATATTTTTTTTAAAAATCAAATGGATTTATCACTTTTTGTTTGATTGTAGGGTGTGAATTCTTTATAAGAGCTTTGAATGTCTAAAATATGGCCAAAGAATGATCTCTAAAAAATTCAATATTCTTTTAAGGGACATTAGCCAATATATTTTTTTTAGAAATCCACACCAAGTAGAATAGTAAATGTGTCCAGTGTGGCCCACAAGAGGGGTAAAATCAACAAAGAAGATTTAAACAGTGAAAAAAACTATGACCCCGCTGTTGCCTATTCACAAAGCAAGTTAGCTAACGTTTTGTTCACTAGGGAGCTAGCTAAAAGACTGGAAGGAACAGGTTATATCTTGTTACGTGGTAATAACTTTTTATAACGACATTATTTAGGTGTGACTGTAAATTCTGTACATCCCGGTATTGTTGACACGAAAATAATCAGACATATGGGGTTCTTCAACAGTTGGACGGCAACAATTTTCCTTAAACCTTTTGTGTGGCCTTTTATTAAAGGTCCTACGCAAGCGTGTCAGACTCCAGTTTATTTAGCTATATCCCCAGAGGTTGAAAAAGTTACCGGAAAGTATTTTTGGTATATTATTATTGTTTTTAGTCAAACCTTGTATTAAATTTTTTGTTTTTAGTAACTATGAACAAGAACAGGTTTCTGAAGCTGGCCAGGATGATAAAACAGCGAAATGGCTTTGGTTGGTTAGTGAAAAGTGGACTAGACTTTGTAAAATATAATTTCATTTAGTTTTTAGTTCTTATTAAATAAATATTTTATTTATTTATTAATATTAACATTTTTTTTGTCATTTTTTATCTAAAACAGGTCTTTTACTCACGGTTAATTATTTTCTTTGATTGAATTCATACACAAATTAATTTAAACTTTTAATTAGATAAACAAATAACGCTAGGTTGTGGTAACAAATTCGGCGTTGCCAATGTAGTAAAAATAAAACGTTGATTTTAATTAACAAATTACTACTTTATTGCAACTTAAAGCAACATTAAAAACTAAAAACAATATTTAAAGTAAATAAGCTACAATATGAATTGTTAATTTGTTGTTATAATGGCAAAATTAAGTTTTAAAACTTTAAAATTTTTGTGTTCATTAAGTTGGCAACACAAAATTTGAAATGACAATTATAAAAGAGTCTGAAAAATAACACTTGAAGAACTTCTAATAATCAGCTGTCAAACGCGTATGTTACAAACGAGTGTTTTTGAAAATAAGGCCAAAAAATACCGAGAAAAAAAACCGTGGAACGACTTGTGTTGTTGGGTGTTTTTCGAGATCCTGGGTTGAGTTTGTACCGGTAAATATAAATTGTACCTATTATAGTATATTATGTAGGTATCAAGTTTGATAAACGCCATTTTATACACGAATTTAATTTAGGCACGAGCTAGCTTGCGAGCGAGTGCTTAAATTAATGAGTGTATAGAAAAGTTTATAAACGAGGTGCATACTATACTTTTTCTACGACAAATACTTATTATTATCTTAAAATGATTTAAATCAAAAATTTGTATAAAGCGCCATCTATGAAACAACAGGGGAAACTGTCAAATGTCACATTTTTACATTTTATAAACACAATTATAAAGGTTATAAAATCGAAATGTATCTTGAAAATTGACAGTTTTTCACAGTGAAAGTAAAGGAAATGTTTTATGAGGACTTTACAGTAAAGTCCGTGCCCGAATTTAAGATATAGTTTACTGCCGGCGAAATTAAAAGGTCAGTACAATGTTCATATAAACTTTTCAAATATTGGCGTTGAGAAACTATTTAATATTTTTGTATTGAGATAATAAAATAATTTTCACATTTAGTATTATTTTACAAGAAAGGCACTTTATTTTAACGATTGTATGACATTTTACAACTGTCAACTAACTTAAAACTAACTTCAGCCCGTGACTAAAGCGCCGTAAAGCCACAACTTGTCAATGTGTATTTAAAAGGTCACTTAGTGTCATGGAAACATTTACGGTAAAGGGCGTTTTAAAGGTGGGAGTAGAAAAAATACAATAAATACACATTTTAGTTCCTAGTGATTTACGTGAAAATTGTTAAAATTTTAATTCAGTAAAATTCATAACACAATAAGTCGTCTAAATGCAAACAGCATTATGGATTTTTATAAGAGTTAATTGGGAAAGTTTCCACTCAATGGTAAAAGACCAAAAACTGGTATTATATTATGTTATTTTTAGAGGACTCAAATTTAAAAATGTTTAATTTTAAGGATATGTTTGTAGAACTTTTATTTTTTTGTTAAATTTCTTAAAATTGTCCAACAAGAACAATAAAAATGTCGTGATTTGATTGACTTACCAAATCTTAGTATGTCTCAAGGTATTCGTAGTTAAAATATTTTCAGGTGTTGGTTGTTAAAATAAAATCAAAATTTTGGGGATGAAAACAAATATTTAAGTATGAAAAAATTATTCAAAAAAATTGCGCTGGTGAGATCTTTTTTTGACCCTTATATTTTAATCAAATACAATACAATTTTTGATTTATGTGTTTTGCAAAGTCTGACTTTTTATTATAAAAGTCATTTTTTTTCAACCCTGCTTTTACTTGACACTTACGCCAGAATGACAAAATTCCCAGTGATGTATTTACTTTTTCTAAATTAATTCCCAACAACAAACATTTTAAAATGGATTCCATGGAACAGGCCCTCAACAAAATTGCATCAGCAAGTAAAGACGAACAACTCAAAACCGATTTGGATGGATTCAAAGATCTATTCAAGAGATATTTGGACAAAACTGAGGCTCCACTTCTATGGGAGAACATACAAAAGTTACCTGAAGACGCTATTTTGGACTCCAGTACTTTCGAAACCATTGAAGATAAGAGTGTTATTAAAGAATTTCTGGGTAAATTAGTTGTAATTAAGTTGAACGGCGGACTGGGTACCACCATGGGATGCACTGGTCCCAAATCGGTTATTCCTGTGAGAAATGGTTTAACTTTTTTGGACCTCACTCTACAACAAATTGAGGTGCATATAAGTAACAATTTTATCGTTGTATTAAGCGAGTTTTTCAGCATTTAAATGAGGAGTACGGTGTTAGTGTTCCTTTAGTTCTAATGAATTCTTTTAACACGCATGATGATACCACGAAAGTTCTTGAAAAGTACATTACCTCCACAGCTCACCTTTATATATTCAATCAGTCTTGTCATCCGAGAATCAATGCTGAAAGTTTATTGCCTGTGCCCACCACAGGGGATGTACAAAGCAACTTGGAAGCTTGGACACCCCCAGGTAAAAATATCCCAATTGGAATACTTAAAAAAGAGTACTCTTTTTTTGTTCAGGACATGGTGATTTTTACGTAAGTTTCAAAAACTCCGGTCTACTCGAGAAGTTCATATCGGAACAAAAAGAGTATTGTTTCGTGTCAAACATCGATAACTTGGGAGCTACAGTCGATATAAACATCGCAAATTACTTGATGAACCCGTGTAAATCAACACCAACGCACGAATTCATCATGGAGTTTACCGACAAAACCAGAGCCGACGTGAAAGTAAGCAAGTAAGAAATCAAAAAAAAAAAAGTTTCACAAACTATAAATATTATATAAAGGGCGGAACGTTGATAAAATACGAAGACAAGCTGAGAATACTCGAGATAGCTCAAGTCCCGAAAGACCACGTGGAAGATTTCAAATCGGTTAAACTGTTCAAATATTTCAACACCAACAACTTGTGGTTGAAACTTGACGCCCTGAAACGCGTCATGGACGCTGACGCGCTCCGTTTGGAAATAATTCCGAACGGAAAATCCCTGAAAGACGGTACCAAAGTCGTCCAGTTGGAAACTATTATTGGAGCGGGCATGAAGTTCTTCGAAAATGCTGTGGGGATCAAAGTCCCAAGAAGCAGATTTCTGCCTGTGAAGAAATGCAGCGACTTGCTTTTGGTGATGAGCAACTTGTACGAGTTACAACATGGGTCTTTAATGGTTTCACCGGAAAGGATGTTTCCCGGATTACCCGCAATCAAATTGGGGGACGAACATTTTTCCAAAGTAAAGGATTTTCTGGCACGATTCAGTTCCATCCCAGATATACTGGAATTGGACCATCTTACTGTAATTGGGGATGTGACTTTTGGTAAAGAAGCATCCTTAAGGGTAGTTTTAACATAATGTTTATTTATATTATTACAACTCAAATTTTAGGGCACAGTTATCATTATCGCAAATAAAGGGAATGTTATAGAAATACCCAGAGGTGCTATACTGGAAAACAAGATTATAACTGGGAATTTAGCTATGATAGACTACTAAACTGCAAAATCATTTGTATATTAATAATTTTAAATAAAAATTCAAGCATAAACTGTTTTTACCACGTGGTTTTACTACATAATATATAAAAGAATTACAAATCATTTTTTTAAATTTTTGTGTCGTTTTTTTAATTACTAATTAAATTGAAAAGGCAGCAAAGTAAATGGGTTTTGGTATAAGCATTACTCTTCGACTATTATTTGATATGTTTTTATTCACATCATGCCTAAAGTACCCAAAAATTTAATCTCGAATTGAAGAATAAAGGCGGCTTTACCTACTTTATCGTTCAAGCACACTAAAGTGCATCTATTAATTATTGACATTTAAAATTTAAACTTTAAATTGTATTTTTACTTGAAAGTGATTTTAAGAACCAAAAATGAAAAAAGATCAGGAAATGGTAGTGGTAATGGAAGTAGCAGAGAAAGAGAAAGGAGACGAACATTTATGTCGTCGTTGTAAATTTGTTTTGTTTTTGTTGCGGTACCTTTACGCCCAAGAAAAACCAACGCAATATTTCATTACAACATTTTATGACATATATATAGGTATACCTACTACTTTAATTTTGCAGAAATATTAAATGGACCTGATATACGACGTTTAATGAAAGATCAAGCATTCAAAAATGCTCTCAAAGTTGACGAGCTTGTCGCATATGGCAGTGTTAAAGCTGTCATTGAAAATGTTCTTGGTTCATGCATATCGGGCCTAAAATTGGCGCCAATTCATTGAAAAAAAGCTTTCCGTTTTGCAAAGAATTAGCGTTAATATGTCATTTAAAATACATCTTTTTTTTATTCTGTTAAATTTGCCGAACTGATAAACATGGAGAACGATTTCACCAAGTAACTGCAAATCCAGAGCATTGGTAGATATCTATGGGTATAGCGGAAAGCAGTTGGATTCATTGCTAGGAGAAATTTGCTGGAATTTGCAGCAAAAGATGTACGACGATATCGTATCATATAATGAGGATTAAGCACAATATATAGTATTATAATACTATAATCCAATTTGATATTTGATACGATTTAATAAATTTAAGGTAGAAAAAAGCAAAATTATGCAATGCATTAAATTTTGAGGGCTTAATTTGGATAAAAAATACTGAAACTTCTTTACTTTGCCCTTTCAATTTAATAATTAAAATAAACGACAAAAAATGTCAAATAATGGTTGTTTTTTTACATAAAATACATTAAAATTTTAGTTTTGTTAAGATAAATATGATCTATTTGCTGTATACCAATTACTTTAGTACATTCAAGATAAATTTAAGTTAAAATAATTTAATAAATACCAACAAAAAACTTACATTTTGAGGTGATTGAGCAGAGCATTTTATTACGAAATTATTTTAAATCCTAGACGTCCTAGTGAAGAACTAATGACATTTTTGAAATCAGCGGCCCAAAATTAGTTAAAGCTGGAGTAAAAGTTTGTAAAACTATCATAGTGTTTTAAATCGGACTTATGCAACCCAGATAGCAGCGGTTGTTTGGTGTTTTCCTATCTGCAGCGTTATCAGGTTGGCAATTGCAATCCTAAAACGGCAAATGTCACGTTCGGGGTGTCAAAATCATATTGATGTTATTTGTTTGTTATTATCAGTTTTTTAAATTAAACTCTGCCCGATGTGGAACTTGAGCCATGAATAATTGTAGAGAAGAATCAGTGAGCGTTAAGAATTGATTTTACATGTTTAACAATGCCTCCTGGCTAAACTTGTAATTTTAATCATGAATGGCACTATTGATATTGGTCTTGTGGTGGACCGAAGACCCTTAATTACATGTAGGTGAAAGGTTAAGTGGCAAACGATCTCGTTAATAAAAACGACTTTATTTTAGGTGCTGGTGAGTTGGAGGTGTTTTCCTCGATTGAGGACAACTTGGCTCAGGCTCTTCCACAAGATTCCTGCGAATGGAGACGGTCTATGGGCAGACCCATAAGAAATGTACACATCGGGGCCAATTTCACTCCGTACAGTTCCAAAGCTCTTCCCAAGGGGACCCAATGGGATCTCATTAGACAACCCTTGTTTCACATTTATTGGACTGAATGCACAGTACGTATTTTATGATTTTTTACATAATTTAGTTTTATCGTTTTTCTATTAATTTTATTGCTTGTATTTTATAGTTTTATTATTATATTGAATTATGTTTTTTGCATTTTTTATGCTAAATATAATTTTTCTCTAATTATAATGTTTTTATCATTTAATGCTTCAAATAATATGTGAAAATTTTGTAAGAAAGTTTTTATGTGATTGATGAAGACACTTAACATATTTATGTTAAGTTTTAAATTAATTAAAATTATAATTTATTTAAATTAATTATAGATAGAAAATAATATTTTTGCTGACAGCAAATTTCTGCAGAGTGGCAGGGTAATTTTTGGTAATTTTATTTTGCAAACATTTAAATCTGTATTTATATATTTTTATTGAATACTTTAATTAAGGATCATTGGCCTTTAAAAATCATATGTTTAACAAAATAAAATCGGATTTTTAGCGGCAATTTTCAAAATTTAAAGTGCACGCGCGGAATTGTGCTGAGCCCGCCTGAGCCACATTTTCTTGCAACTAATTAGCGGCCAATTCTTAATGAATGTGTTAGTTTATTTTCCAAAATAATTATTACTTTACCAAGTTTTTGGACATAATTCTGCGATGTTGTGAAAAAAACGCTTCTATTAAATGCAGACATTAAAAATCGTATATACAAGGTGCATCAAGTATCCTTCTGTGTGTATAAGACTTCTATGAATATTTTTTTTTATTTGAAGAACTACAAGGTCGGTAAAATTTAAAAAAAAGTTTTGTAATTACAAGTCTATTAAATAAATATGGCGGCCACAGGAAAAACAAAATATGTTGGTGGTAACTCAAAATATAATATATAATGTAATAGTTATTATTATATATTATATTTTGTTTTTCCTATGGCCGCCATATTTATTTAATATTTAATAAATCGAACACATTCTTATTGGTTATTAAGTATTTCCTTTAAAAACATATTTAAAAAAAAATAAAATCGTTTTTTTGACAATATTCGGCAATTTATAAAAGTGCCACGCGCGGAATGGTGTTCAGGCACTCACCAAGTTCGTTTGAGCTACTTATAAAACTTTTTAATATGTTTTGTTTATTATAATTTTATACTTATTTTCCAAAATTGCTTTGCTAAAAATTATCCTAGAAAATGTAATATCTATTAGACTGGGCCAAAAAATCGAATATTTAAAAAAAAAATTATATCGAAAATATTGTTTGGGGTGGCAAAAAAAGTCCATAATATTAATATTAAGAGGTATATCATCGCAATTTAAATTTATTTTCCTGGGCGAGTTTTTGTCTCAGAACTCACAAACCATTGAGTTTAACAAAATTGACTCAAATTGAATGCTCTACAAAAAAGGTCTAAATGAAATTTTCCGTCAGATGACCGTTTCCTTAAAATCATGCCCTAAAAATTGGTATAGTTTTACAATTTGATCTTTTAACTTTGGAAATTTGTAATTCATGTAAAAATCAATACCCGGAAAAAACCGATAAAAATTCTTACCGGAAATCAAATGCTTTACAAAAAAAGTTTTGGCTAAATTCACTCAATCAAAAGTTATTCAAGGTTAAAGTTGAAGTCAAAACGAAATTCTTGTTTTTTCCTCTGTAGATTTATTTTTTTGTGGATGATAATTTGATTTTTTTCTTTATAATTATAACTAATTAACAATTTTCAATAAAAAAACAACATGATTGTTATCATTTAAACAATTAAGAAAATAAAATATCTTCTTAAAGCGAAAAAAATCGAATGTGTTATTTTCTTTATGGATGATAATTTGATTTTTTTCTTTATAATTATAACTAATTAACAATTTTCAATAAAAAAACATGATTGTTATCATTCAAACAATTAAATAACAGTGAAATATATATTTTCTAAAGAAAATATCTTCTTAAAGCAAAAAAATACGAATGTGTCATATATTGTTTAAATTTTTTAGTAATTTTATCAATAACATAAAGATTATCATCGATAAAAGAATTCAAGTTTTTAACTGACCAAAAAAAAACAAGAATTTCGTTTTGCCTTCAACTTTAACCTTGAATAACTTTTGATGGAGTGAATTTAGCCAAAAATGTTAAGAGACTTTTTTGTAGAGCATTTGATTTCCCATAAGAATGTATATCGGTTTTTTTTCCGGGTACTGATTTTTACATGAGTTACAAAATTCCAAAGTTAAAAGATCAAATTGTAAAACTATGCCAATTTTTAAGGCACGATTGTAAGGAAACGGTTCATTTGACGGGAAATTTCAATCAGACCTTTTTTGTAGAGCATTCAATTTTATTTAAAAAATATTCTTAAGTCAATTTTGTTAAACTTAATGAAACACGTTTGTTAGGACGTAGATATCTATAAGAGCACCCTGAGGGACGACATTGATGGTTGGCTCAAGGAATTAAACGCTAAAGACATAACCGATTGGTTGGTGGTGGTAGTCGAAAATTACGATGGCAAAAGAACGAACAAACTGCTGCCCAGAACCACGGTGTTGGACAAAATCAGGGCCGACTTTGCGCCCAAGCAAGGCGACAGGTGCATATCTGTGATAAACCCCGGAAAACTGGAAAGCCGATCTGCCGATTCGTGGAGAGGCTTGGTGTCCAGAATTAGGCATTTACTGTTGGTTTCTTACGCGAAGGCTGTGGCCAGGCTGGAGGATTACGTCAGGCAGCAGAGGGAGAGAAGAAACGAGATCGGGTGGAATTTTATGCAATACTTTCAGTTACAGGTAAATTACAGTCTTTGTTTTATCATAAGAACCCGTTTATTGGTCAAATATTAGATGTTAGTAGGTAGCACAACTGGTTAAATAACTAACAAAAATCTAAGTAAAATAACGTTTTTTTTTAAACTTGTTTTATTAAAAAAAATATTTTCCCAATATTTACAATTTAAGAACATAACCTAAAATTTGAAAGAAATTCACTAGATTCTGTCATAAAAGTTGCCAGATTTTGTTTGAATTTACCTTTATTACAAAAATGACTTAATAAAAATGGCAAATTAACAATTTGCATTGTTAATTTTGTCATTTTTGTAATTAAGTTAAATTTAAACAAAATTTGGCAACTTTTTTTGACAGAATCTGGAAACGCTGGTTGTTACCAACTATAACATATTAAATTAAATTAGGCACCCAGATTAGCCTAAAGTTTCTAGTCGATCAGTGGCGTACTTTTTGGTAGAATAAAGGTTATTACAAATTATTTTTAGAATTTAGAAAAAAAAGTTTTAGGTGCTTCTTTATGGACCCTAAGGAACTACCCATTTTAATATATTACACCCTGTATAATATTAATATTCAGTGGCGACATTTTCAGAGTTGCAAAAATATTGTAAAAAATAATACAATTGTCATTTTTTGAATCATTAAAAAGAATATTTAATGAGAAAAAAAAACATTGCACATTAAAAAATTAATGAGTACATTAAAAACTAAAAAATGAGTTATGAAAGACTGTATATTACACATTAAAAAAATGATTGATTTTTTATATAGGGCATTTTACACCAAGTATGACAGTTTAAAAAATGTTGATTTTCGATTTCTTTTATTTTTCGATATTTTTTAGTACCCATTAAAAATGCCTTTCTGGTAAAGTTTGATATTTTTTTGATTCCTCATTCAAAAGATATCAAATTTTCGTAAGTAATATCATAAGGGCATTTAATTTTTCCGAAAAGGATCGAAAAAACACGTTGCTAAGTAATATTTTAACAAAAAGCATGAGTGCTGGTGGCAACAAAAATCCGAGTCGAAGAGGAGGATTTTTGCACCTGCACGAATGCATTTTGTTAAAAAATATTACTTAGCATTGTGTTTTTTCGATTTTTTTCACAGGAAATTAGATGCCCGAATGGTATTTGACAAGACTATTTCATGAATAACAGTTAACAATTAAAATATAAATTGCAATTTTTGGTGACAACAGCTGTCAAGTTTTGCCGCGGGTAAACTCGAAAAAACTGCTGACAGGTGCTGTCACACAGCGTCACCTGAGAATTATAGTGTTCTATCTACATTTTTTTTGAAATTGATGTTAGTCTTGTTTTAAGTCTTAAAGATGCATATTGTTCTTATCTATATATAATTGGGGTAGAAATTGTACAGTTTAAGGCTTAAACTGTACAATTTCTACCCCAATTATATATAGATAAAACAATATGCATCTTTAAGACTTAAAACAAGACTGACCTTAATTTAAAAAAAAAATGCGGATAGAACACTATAATTCTCAGGTGACGACAGTTTTTTCACCTAGAAACCATTTTTAATTCAAAATTGCGCGTTTGTGATTGGTGACGAGGGAAATAGTCGAAACAATAATTTTTTTCTTAAAATTTTCCTGTTTCAAAATTATCCAAAGAATATTTGCATACAAATTTTGAGTTTTAAAATTTTAATTTTCAAACCGTTTGTACTCTTCGATTTCCTTGCAAATTTTTCACGTAAAACTTCCACCCACTCAAGAAATTTTAAGCCGGGGTAATTTATATAACCTAAGGTAATAGTTCAGTTTTATAGGACTATAGGAAGTTAGGTACTTAAAGTATTATTATATAATTTCGAAACTCTTATATACCTTGTAGTACTGTTATTACTGCAAGTAGTGTTATAAAACTTTTGATAGGCAACCATTTAACCGCTCAGGTTAGTGTTGTCAGGTTCGCCATTTTTGCCTGCAGTATTAATGGTTTTAACGCAATGGAATCAATTTATTTCACTAAACATTCGATTTAATCCACTATTCAAATATTTATGTTAATAATATTATATTACTTAAATATTCTATGCTAAATATTTTCTTTTTAACCAATTTTTAATTAAAATTATGAAAAAGCATCGCGTCGAAAGCCAATACTATGCTTAATTTCTTTTTCGATTACTAAACATTTTTGCTTAATTAAGCACATAAATAATTAATAACTAACAATTTTTATTTAAATAAAATAGTTTTATGAAACAGGTAACCGCAAATTTTATAAAACTCCTTTATATACCTACTGGTAACGGTTACTAAAGGTTATATAAATTTTTTTTAGAAACAATTATGGGTGAATTTCACGAAATGTCCCCCGATGGTGTTACCCCGTGATATTTAATAAAACTAAATGAGTTTGACCTACACTTTTATTGTGTTTTAATCTTTCATAATTAAGTAGATATTACAGCTCAGGTTCCAGATTTTTAACCGCAATTAATTATTTTTTACAATGTTTTAAAAGTCTAAAACCTATCCTCCGTGACTGTTACTCTTTCTAGGTTAACCTATACTGCCGTGCTTAATGAAAACGCCGTAACCAACAATTTTGCAATTTTTGGTTTACGGCATTTTCTACTAGAAAAATTCATCCTGCGTCTATCCCCGGTACTCAAAAAACCGTATCTATATATATATACGGTTTTTTGAGTACCGGGGATAGACGCAGGATGAATTGTTCTAGTAGAAAATGCCTTAAACCAAAAATCGCAAAATTGTTGGTTACGGCGTTTTCATTAAGCACGGCAGTATATGTTTTCAAATATCTGAGGTAGTAAAATATCAGTTCACTAAGTAAATTAAAGACATCCAAAGCAATCGAGTCAAATATAAAATATTAATAATAATTAAAAGAAATAATTTTTATAACCATTTATGTAGGTGTTACAAAAATTGATTCATTGATTGCATTAGTGCAGAACCACTTATGTTATTAGACATGGGGGCTTCCCAAAAACCCCATTCTAGACTAATAGTGAAACAACCAAAAATAAAAAATAATCATTTTCACTTGAGAGACATCTCAATAATATTATAACCTAATTATATACCTAGAGTTTACAGTAACCTTTTATGACCATTATATTACTAGTAAACTAAATGGCGATTTTATAGAACCTTGTTAAACTCTTATATAATTTGACAACTCATATAACTTTTATATAATTTATCGTTACCATGAATTAACCAGGCATAACGTTAATTTAACCAGTTGTGCTATTTAAGTACGACAAGGTTTCTAAAGAAGGAGCTTTCTTCGTTGTTTAGGAAGAGTTGGCTCAAGTTTTGGAGATGCTGGGGCTCAACGACGAGGCTCTGGTGCAGTACGACGAGCTGGACGCGTTGCTGTCGCAGTTCGTGGCGAACGGCATCACCAGCGAGTGCGTGAACTGGCTCGGCGAGTTCCAGAAGCCTCTGGAAAGATGGCACGGGCTCAAACTCGGGCCCTCGTCGCTCTCGAAAACTCCTTCCATACTGGAATTGAGGGCCTACCTCTACGCCAAGCAGGCTCAAATGCTCTTGCTCACCAACAAAGTTTGGGAGGTAAAGTAGAAACCACGAATATATGAACGTGACTCATCAGGCACAATCGTACGAAGTAAGTAATCTATCGAAGGTCACGGTCCAGTGCAGTGCTGTTCTAACGGGGGCATAAATATTTGTAAAAAATCTTGAGGGTAATGTTGGCTGCTTTTAAAGTTAAATTTTAATAATTAACATCTACGATAATTAAATAAAATGTAATTTTCTTAGAAACTAATTAATAAATAAACTTTTCTTTTAACTTTAAACGCAAATATTTCAGAATTGGTGACAAAAAACCAAAAATGTTTTACGCAGGTCAGGTACAAAGTGAAAGATAATTAAATTGTGTGGATATAAACACAACTTGCGTTAGTTTCACGAAATTTATTAAATATTGACAATTGTTTCGCTACACAGTAGCTTCTTCAGAATGTATTAAACTAATACTAGTACAAAATTTATATAATAAAAATATTTTTGTATTCTAGCCTAGAATTTCTAGGTAAGGATTTTTATACGACATCTACCTGTGTTACATAATATAAACCACTGCCACTACAACGTTTAAAACGATTATTAATCCGTAAACACACAACGTTTATTTAAAGTCCAAAAAACGTACAATAACAATTGCAATAAACGCGCAATAACAATTGCAATAAAAACCACTAGCACTACAACGTTTAAAACGATTATTAATCCGTAAACACACAGCAGAAACACGATATGCAAAAGCAAAGGTCATATGACATATAAAAACAAATGGCCGACGGTAGAGTTGGTTGCCTTACTATGTAATAAAATAAAATAAATTGCCTAAAACACGAAATCTACTGAATTCCAACAAAATTAAGTAACAAGCTAGGACACGCGTCATATGTCCATCTTTGTCGAACACCTAGGCAGTTTTACATCACAGATGGCGCATTTTAGACCGGATGCCTAAAAACCTACGTGTGAGTACATTTACCGCTGCATCGAATGTACAAGTCAAGTAAAACATTACTGCTAGCATGTCTGAGATATGTTCGGCACCCGATGAGTCACGTTCATATATTGGTGGTTTCTACTGTAATAAGTTAATTTTTCGCAGTGCAGTTCAATAATAATAATACTAATCGAAAAAATTTAGATGGCTTCCAGGTGTTTACCTTTCCTGCACACGTGCACGAGGGAGCTGGCTATTTTGGAGATCAAGGCTCCCCCGGGTGCGGTAGCTTGCTGGTTGTTTCTCGCCAGCATGGAGGTTTTACAAACTTGCGATAAGTTTAATCACGCCGACGAAGTGGAAGAGTATTCGCTGCATACTGCTTGTTTATGGGAATACGCCAGCCAAAAGGTAAGTGCCAATTTTATTAAATAACTTTGCGAGCGTCAAACTGATATTTGAGGGTTTTTCAGGAGGAGAAAATTAAATTTCTTAAATAAATTCATGTATGTTGTAGAGCTGTTACTTTGATATATTTAAATGGTCACATGTTTTTTGCCAAGTATCGTTCATGTGTTTAATTAATTTTCTAAATAAATATCTCCGAAATATTTAATTAAAAAAATTCTACTTCAGGAATTCTTAAGGTTAAATTTTTTTTTAATTTTGTTTTTATATGTACTTTTTATTAAAAATTATTCAGACCAATCTTCAATATTTTTTTTTAATTCTCGGAAAAAAAACGAAAAAAATACAAATTTTTTTTTGAAAAAGTAAGAAAAATATAATAATAATAATTTTTAGACAAACAGGCTTTTAAAAATTTGTAAGTGGTTAATTTGTAATGGAATTCGTTTCATGTTTTTTTTCACATTTTTTTAATTACTCAAAAAAAGTTTATTGAATAATTTTATTTATTGTATTTATAGCTACTGTATATATAATTATTTTTTATTCTCTTTAGTTTTAAATGTATTTAGTCTTCAATAAAAATATTTAAAAAAATTATTCAGAACTATTTTCTACTTTTTTCTTTCTCTTTTGAAAAACCTGAAACCCGAAAAAAAATAGAAAAAACGCCACTCTGAAATTTCAGAGAATTTGCAGAAAATGTTAGTTTCGATAAAAAAAATTTAAAAAAAACGCCCCAATAATTTCATTTTTTAAAGTTCATTTAAAAAATATGTAGCAATTTTTTTGGTTGGGTAAAAAAATATAAAAAATCCTGAAAAATGTTTTTAATGGGGTAAAAAAACGCGGTTTGTAATAAAAAGAAAAAAAATTCAATCATCGAAAAATTTTCGATTTTTTCGAAAAAAAACGTTGAAACCGGTCTAAATAATATTTTTCTGAAAATTGCATTTAAAAACAAAAATTTTGGAAAATTTATAGATACTTGAAAAATATGGAGCCTTTTTTGGGTGGGTAAAAAAAATTGAAAAAATTCTAAAAAATGTTTGATAGGGTTAAAAAAATTAAAAAAATATTCAGAACCTTCTTCTATTTTTTTTATTACTTTTTCGAAAAACACTTTATTTATTTTTTTAGACTGAGGTTCTCTACAACCTCTTTTTCATTTGAAAAAAAAATGGAAACAAAAATCTCAGAGATTTGCAGAAAATATCAGTTTTTAATGAAAAAAAATAAAAAAGAAATAAAAATGACAATAATCGATTATTGTTTTACGAAAATTAAAAAAAAAAACGTTGAAAATCTGTCTTTTTTCATATTTTTCTATAAGTACCTTAAAAAAAATTTAAAAAAAACGTCCCGATAACTTCATTTTTTAAAAAGTTATATTTATTTGAAAAATATGGAGCCATTTTTTCCGGTTGGGTAAAATAAATTTAAAAACTTCAGAAAAATGTTTTTAATGGGGTAAAAGAAACAAAAAAAATATTTAGAACTATCCTCTATTTTTTTCTTACTTTTTCGAAAAACAGTAAATTTATTTAATGATTACCACTTTTAATTTCAATTTCAACCCCAAAAATCCCTAGTGGTATTATGAGAAATAATTTGAGTTAATTTTTTATTAATATTTTTAATAATTTAACAAAAATAGTAAACAAAAATACGCTGTTTTTAATAAAAACATTTTTTTAAATTTGAAGAAATTCTGATAAATGCTTTTGAAAAAAAATAAAAAAATAATTCAGAAGCATCTTCTATTTTTTTTCTTAACTTTTCGAAAAACAATTAGATTTTTTTTATTAACATTTTCAATTTCATTTATTTATTTTTTCAAACTGAGGTTCTCTACTTGAATATTAGTCCAAATAATTTTTTGTATATTTTTCTAAATTAAAAACAAAAATTTTGAAAAAAAAACGTAAATTTTTGAAAAAGTTATTGATATAGATATGTATAAATATATATTTGATTTTTTTTTGGTTGGTTGAAAACATTCTGAAAATGTTTTTGATCGGGTAAAAAAAGATAAAAAAAGTTTCAGCCAACTCAAAAGGAAAAGTGGTCAATTTGTTATTTAAATTAGCGTTTTTTATATAAAAATATTAAAATATTTTTTTTATTGATAACTTAAATCCTGTAATTCGACCATTTTCTTTAGCTCAAATATTTGGGCGATTTGTGTGGGCTGATGCCCGGCGGAGAACCGACTTCCGACCAACTCCACACAGTGGTCGGTTTGTCCGCCGGCATGGGCGACAACCCAGGACCGGCCAACAGCCCGTCGCCCACGGATAAACTAAAATCCGCCCTGATACACCAGGACGTTTTCAACAAGACCTACCTGGTAAGTTTATCGCGGTCGTGGAAGAAATTGCGGAGCAAAATGGGGTAGTTCAATTTTTTCTGACCCACACTTTTTATGGTTTTATTCAAGGCTTTTTGTAATATTAAACATTTCTGTGAAATCGGAATTTCAATTGAGTTTACCGTTTTCGAGATATTTACAAAAAATATAAATTTTTATGACGTCACAAACCTCGCCATGTGACCAACATTCTAAGATTTCTATTGGTTGAAAATTACCCTGTTGTCAAGTTGTCTTGTTAATGATTTCATTCGGTTATGTCAGAAAATACCCGAAGAGGTTATGTACAAATACTGTCACTGTCAGTTGAGTGAAAGATGGTCACCAAATTCATTAAGTACCTATCTTCCATATTACTGTTTGATATTTTAGAGTCCAAGATATATCTAAAAGAATATAAAGAATTAGGCATTATACTAATGAAATGCATTTACGACAAAATATGATTATAATTATAGGTACTTACTTTATTTGTTTAAAAGCTCCAATGTTCAATGTAACCAACCATTCCACAAGATTCCTCTGCTTTGGAGTCCGTTATTAAGAAATCACTTATCTAATATCAATTACAAATAACATTAATTTTCAATAATCTAAATTTAAAAAAAACATAACCCGAAAAAAAGAAACGTCAAAAAATCAATTCTTCTCAACTAAAATTATAGATCAAGTGGTTTTAAAACTAAAATATTATAACGTGGCGCCATCTATCGTAAGAATCTTAAACTAAACACACTGGCAACCATAGAAAAAGCTGGCAACGTTGTCAATAGCCTAGTGACGTAATTAGGAGATTTTTTTTTTGTAAATATCTCGAAAACGGTAAACTCAATTGAAATTCCGATTTCACAGAAATGTTTAAAATTACAAAACGCCTCGAATAAAACCATAAAAAGTATAGGTCAGAAAAAATTTAACCACCCCATTTCGATTTTTTTTTCTGCAGGAGTTGGCGGAACTGGCCATGGGCACGTACAAGCACATCGGCAGGCTTCGCTCCGCCCGATTGGTGGGCAGAGAGGTCGCCTCGTTTTACATGTCGCTGGGACAGCACCAGAAATCGGCCGCGTTTTTGGGCGACCTCTTGCGGACGTTCGAGCAAGACGGTTGGCAGGAATTGGCCGCCCAGACTCACCTGGAGCTCGCGGAGTGCTACAAGAAGGCCGGAGATGTCGGAAAACTGATAAGGTAAGAATGGCAAGGTTTACATTTATTAATGGACCTCATTTTTTGTGACTCTGCAGATGCGGACGTTTGTAAATGGTATTTCTTTTTGAATTTACATTCATTGAATCCACAAACCAAATTAGTCATATATTTAAGTGTTCAAGATTTCTCGTTTTTAATTTTTTTCAGTTTTAAATTTTTTTTTACAATAAAATTTGTTTGATTTCTTTTTTATTTTTTTTTTCTAGGTCCTGAAGCCACATATCCCAAAAAAGCAGTAAGTATACTTACTGCTTTTTTGGGATATGTGGTTTCAGGACCTAGGAAAAAAAATAAAAAAGAAATCAAACAATTTTTTTTGTAAAAAAAATATTATAGCTTTGACTTATTTAATTTTAATTTTATCGTAAAAATTTGGGTTATTGTTCCAAAAAGCGTTTTTAAAGCGAATTCCTTAAAAAATCAGTTTTCATTTTTGTAAGAAAATATCGACAATTTTTTAAAAATATAGTTGGGTCATTCCATCAAATAAATTATTTTTAGGTTTGTGACACCCGCGGATGTTTTTTTTTTTAATTTTTGTGTTATTCTCTACATTAAAAAAATAACTCTGAAGATTTGAGTACTTTCGTAATGATTTTTCGAATTTTTAAAATATTTCTTTTTTAAACTTATTCTTTAGTTTTTTTAGATGTAAATAATGTTCCATAAAAATACAAACACTACTGTTTTTTTAAATAAACCAACGCAATACCCTCAAATGTTTAATTAAATTGAAAAAATGCCTTTTATTTCAAATTTCATATTTTTTTCTGAAAACTGAGAATTAATTACGTAAAATATATTTTTGTTTAAATAAAATTCAATAGTAAATTTTAAGTCATTTTTTTTATTTAATTGAGGTTATGCTGCATAACTTATGCGTCTGTCAATTTTGTCTTATTTTCTGATATATTTATTTTTGTTCAAACTTCTTAGTTTATGTCACAAAAACATACGTATGTATATTATATTATTTCAAAAAATTAGACGAAATTGGTGTTAAAATGACAGGAAACATAACCTCAATTATTTGAAAAAAAGTTACTTAAAATTACTTTATTTTTTAATTGAATTTCAACAAATCCATCGTGATAATTACTTATTTTGCATATAAACTCTTAGCATTAAGAAATAAAAATTTGAAATAAAAACGATCAGAAAAATCGCATCGATTGATTTTTTAGTGTAATTTGTTACTTATAATAAAGAATAAATATATTCATTAAAAAGGCAAGAATTATTCATAAATGTAATAACAATATATATATATATATATATATATATATATATATATATATATATATATATATATATATATATATATATATATATATATATATATATATATATATATATATATATATATATATATATATATATATATATATATATATATATATATATATATATATATATATATATATATATATATATATATATATGTATACAGTTTGAAAGAGAATTAAAAATCTTTTAATTTGATGGGTTACTCGGCATATTTATCTCACGTTAGAGCAAAAAAATACTTTTTTCAAGGCAATCTAGATCACAGCATTTTTTCTCAATATCTTGGTTGTTTTTGAATGAATTTTAACCTTATGATACACCAATAGAACTAGAATTGAACGCTCTACAAAATTGTTATTAAAAATATTTTTTACAAGAAAACCAACTACTGTTTGTATTTTTATAAAACATTATAAAGGGTGTCCCATTAAGACCGCCTATTTTAAAATTTAAAAAAAATGCCGTGTTTATTTAAAAAGTTAAGATATTTTTATTGCAATAAAGAGGGAAGACATGGAGGTTAAATATGGAACACAATATCCGATAAATGGCCGCCTCGTGACTGAGGGCACACGTTGATTCTTTTGACAAAATTTTCGATTACATTTTGGCATAGTGCCGGCTCAATTCCATCAATGACCCGTCGAATCTCATGTTTTAGTTTAGGAACTGTTCTTGGGTTATTAGCATAAACCTTTTTCTTCAAAAAACCCCAAAGAAAGAAATCTAACGGCGTCAAATCGCATAATCGGCCTGGCCACATCACATCTTTGCGGCGCGAGATAACTCTGCCTTCAAATTTTGTCCTCAATAATTCCATGGTTTCGTTGCTGTGCATGGTTTGCTGTCTTTAAATATTGTTTCAACCGAATCTTGTACGCATGAAAATGCAGGTCTTTGGCCAAAATTCGCTGTAAACTGCTTCGAGGGAGTCAATTGCTGGAAACGGTGGCGAATCGAGGAGGAAGAATTATGTTTAACACTTTCACCAACTGCTGCAATTTTTTCAGCAGACCGAGCTGCACGAACACGGACATGTCTCTTTTTGGTTTGAATTGACCCAATCGTTTCAAATTGCTCGATTAATCGGACCACAGTCCGGCGAAAAGGTGCGTTATGGTGATCGAAAAATCCACGATATCTTCAAACCGTTTCCGAAAAATTCTCACCATTTCGATAGTGGATTTTTACAATTTCTATGCGTTGTGCGTCCGTGTAAATCTTCATGACTTAACCTGTCTTAATCTTCACACATGACCACTGTCCAACAACAACGCTGTACGATTGACACAAAAAAAATGACACTAAATTTAAAATAGGCGGTCTTAATGGGACACCCTTTATAAATATTTACACAAAAAAGAAAATTTAAATAAAATTATTTTGTCAAAACTCGAAATATTTTAACTTTATAAGAAAATATGAGGCAAATAACCATCAGTGTTTTAGTTTTATTTTTATTGTAAAATGTGTTTTATCGCCCCAAAAGCATTTTTAAAAACAAAAATTTTGGAAAAAAAGGCGAGTAAAAAAGAAGTTCTGAAAAATGTTTTTAATGGGTCAAAAAAATTAAAAAAATATTTAGAAACATCTTCTATTTTTTTTCTTTACGAAAAACATTTAAATTTTTTTGATTACCAGTTTCTATTTCATTTATTTATTTTTTCAAACTTTCAACCTTTTTCAATCAAAAAAAAAAAAAAAATCCCCTACCCACGAAAAAAAACACCCTGTATGTGTTAACAGTTTGATAGAGAATTAAAAATCTTTTAATTTGATGGGTTACTCGGTATATTTATCTCAAAAAAACAAAAGAATTAGAGCAAAAAAATGATTTTTTCAAGGCAATCTAGATCACAGCGTTTTTTCTCAATATCTTCGTTAATTTTGATCGAATTTTAACCTATGATACACCAATGAAACTAGAATTGAAAGCTCTACAAAACCGTGTTATTATTATCTTAGATCTTGCGCGAGCGTGTCTTCTGCCCACGAAATCGACAACATCATCCGTTGGACGTACTTCGACGAGATGACGAGGCACGCCGAATCGCTGGACAAAAGTCTGGCGGTTCCTTTCGAGAACATCGTCAAAATCGTGAGCGTAAACGTTCTAAACGACGAAAACGTCATCATGTTGGACACCAAGGTACACGTGGAGCTGGTGCTGGAGTCCAACTTGCCCAGAGAGTTGGTCTGCGAGAAAGTCGACATGTCGTTGGAAGCGGTAGAGAACAAAGGTAAGTAAAAATCGAACAAATTTTGTACATTTGTTTGCAAGTGATGCCAGAATTGAATATATTTTTTTAACCTTGTTTCCACATCTAAATGGTGCATATTTTCAAAAAAAAAAAAATCCATTCATTGACCGCTGTGGTTTTCAGGCCTTAAGTCACTCTACTGTGTTAAAAATAAAAAAACTTCGATATTTTGTAATAACATTTTTATTTAAAAACGTATCGATTTGAAATTAAGATAAAATGTATACCTTATTAATGGCAATAAATCCACGTATTATTTTTTTTTTAGATTTTAACATACAGGGGGCGCTGGAGACAATTTAATTTAAAATTTTACCATTATTTAAGGGTAAAAAAATCGAAGAAGCAACGTTGTTTTATAATTATGAGTATATCACGTTAAAGTACTGATAATTAACTATTATTTGATATATAAACTTCTACATGCAAATTATGTTTCTACAAGAGACATCATTTTTAAGTTAGGCCTTCAAAGGGCATAATACTAACGTGTTTTACAAACTATATATTCTTTTATCTTGTTTTATAAGATAAAGTATTATATATAACATACATTCTTACATATTTATTTTAAAAAATCGCCATAGATGGAGCTAAAATTACTTTTATTTATAAACTTAAATTTTTTTCAAGTTTACTAATTTTGATCATAGTAGGCATCATAGACTTTTCTCTATGGTAACCTACCATTGGAAGCATGAAAGATAATATGACAGTTCAGTTTCAGTTGACTGATTGCGTTTCAAACATTAATTTATTAATATGAATAAACTAAATAATAATTATAGACAGTGTCAGCAAGTTAGAAATTATAACCTACTTTAATTTTATTTTTTGCTCCACAACCAAGCTTCAATTTATTTTTTACTCGATAGGCAAGCTTCAATTAAAATTTTAATTCCAAACTGAGGAAAGTAATATTTAACCAATAAATAAATTAGAAAAAAGACTTTATTTTTTATGTTGCGATCGGGTATTTTTTATTTAGTTGTTTTTCGCTTTTTTGTAATTAGATATTTTGCATTTTTTTTTAATTTTATTTAATATAATGCTATACAGGGTGTTTCTGGAGAAACGCAAACGATATGGATTTGAAATTTTAATAGCGTATAAAATTTGATTTAGACTATACCTAAAGTCAATAATTTTCAAGATATTAATTTTTTTCGTTAAAATTTTGCTAAATGCACGTCAATCAAAAATAGCCTCTAATTTTTTTGTTATTAGGTTTGCTGACATGGGGTTGGAATTTTTGGAATGTTAAAACATTGTTTAAATAATTTAATTTTTTAAAGGTTTTTCAACAAATAGCTTGTGAAAAATCATTTTAAATTAGGCAAACTTCAAAAATAAAAACGTTTTTATTATAAATGTAAAACCCTGAATGTTTTAACATAATCAAATAGAAAATTCTTTCGATAGGTATTATAATATAACTGTTTCCTAAAGTTAAAATTTCAGAGACATTTAACAATTTCTAATATTTTTAATACTATTTTGTATCAACAAACCTGTGAATTTGATAAAAATATAAAAATATATGAGGTGTCCTGTTTAAAATAACAGTAAACAGGGAGTATATATAATATATATATAAAAGTCTAAATCGAATAATTTAAGCTGTAAAAATTTTAAATCGATGTCTTTTGTGATTCCCTAGAAACTTCTAACGGACTCCGTACATTCTGTACTCCTGTAATATTAAAGGTCATGTATGTGTTATGCAATACTTAATTATTAATAAAATATACAACAATATTTGTATAAAAATGACAAAATGTACTGAACTAAACATTTATGAACACTGCTACTGCTAATTCAAAACTGATCCTGGCCACAGAAACATCATTTGCATAAAAAAGTTAATTTATCAAATAATGGTCAAATATCAATACTTCAACTTGTTAAACTGAAACAATGTTGCTTATTTGATTATTTACCATTTAAAAATTGTTAAATTTTAAATTAAATTATCACCAGCGCCCCTTTTCGCAAAACCGTAGTTAACATTTGGAAGTCCTATCTCACCAAATTCTGTCCCAAGAAATTGTAATTTAAACCCCTGAAAAGTAGTAAATTACAATTTCTGGGTACCTACTTTTGTGACATAAGGTATTTCAAAATAAGACGCCTGTTTTTCTTTTTAAAGAAACCAGTAAAAGCAACGAAAAGTACTGCAAAGGTAGGTCGCTGAGCAGCAAAGACTTGAAACCTAGGGATCCAATGCTGCAACGTTTAAAAATCCAAAGAAATTTGGACTACAAGCAGGACAAACAGCTGGCGTCTGCAGGAATCGTTTCGAAGTTTACTGAGCTGCGCAGAAAAGACAGCACGCAACAGGTGTGCAGTAGCGAGTTCGCGCATGCGCTGGAAGCCAACAAGCTGGTAAGAACTTTAACTTTTGAATTTTTCCGTTTTTTTTTCTACAATTTATAGGATTTTCCACTGTTACATTTTAAATGAAAATAATGGCGTTTAAATCGAAAAATATAAAAAAATACTCTATTCCTTAAAAAAATTATTGCGATTTTTTAGTTTGGGAGCCAAAATACTTTAGTAAAAAATAGTCCAAAAAACACTGTTTTCAAGGAAATCTAGATCACAACGGTTTTTCTCAATAATTAGATATTTTAAAACTAGAATTTAACGCTCTAAAAAAATGTTAAAAAACAAAACAAAAACGTTTGCATCATACACGAAAACACCCTGTATATGTTAACAGTTTGATAGAAAATTAAAAACCTTTTAATTTGATGGGTAACTCGGTATATTTATTTTAAAAAACAAAATAATTACAACGAAAAAACAATTTTTCAAAGCAATCTAGATCCCAGCGTTTTTTCTCAATATCTTCGTTATTTTTTATGGAATTTTAACCCGTGATACACCAATTAAACTAGAATTCAACGCTCTTCAAAACTATGTTAAAAACAAAAAAACTTTTCTATAAAAACATCCTACACACGAAAACACCCTGTATATGTTAACAGTTTGATAGAAAATTAAAAATCTTTTAATTTGATGGGTTACTTGGTATATTTATCTCAAAAAACAAAAGAATTAGAACGAAAAAACAATGTTTTCAAGGCAATCTAGATCACAGGGTTGTTTCTTAATATCTTCGTTATTTTTGATCGAATTTAAACTTTTGATACACCCATTAAACTGGAATTCAACGCTCTACAAAACTATGTTAAAAAACAAAACAAAAACTTTTCCATAAGAAAATTACAACTCCACTACACACAAAAACACCCTGTACATGTTAACTGTTTGATAGAAAATTAATATTCTTTTAATTCGATGGGTTACTCGGTATATTTATCTCAAAAAACAAAAGAATTAGAGAGAAAAAACAATTTTTTCAAGGCAACCTAGATCACAACGTTTTTTCGCAATATCTTTGTTATTTTTGATCGAATTTTAACCTTTGATACACCAATGAAACTGGAATTCAACGCTCTACAAAACTATGTTAAAAAACAAAACAAAAACTTTTCCATAAAAACATTACAACTCCACTACACACAAAAACACCCTATATATGTTAACTGTTTGATAGAAAATTAAAAATCTTTCAATTTGATGGGTTACTCGGTATATTTATCTCAAAAAACAAAAAAATTAGAGCGAAAAACCACTTTTTTAAAGGCAATCTAGATCACAGGGTTTTTTCTCAATATCTTCTTTATTTTTTATGGAATTTTAACCCATGATACACCAATTAAACTAGAATTCAACGCTCTACAAAACTATGTTAAAAAAACAAAAAAACTTTTCCATAAAACATCCTACACACGAAAACACCCTGTATATGTTAACTATTTGATAGTAAATTAAAAATCTTTTAATTTGATGGGTTACTTGGTATATTTATCTCAAAAAACAAAAAAATTACAGCTAAAAAACACTATTTTCAAGGCAATCTAGATCACAGGGTTTTTTCTCAAAATCTTCGTTATTTTTGATCTAATTTTAATTTTTGATACACCAATGAAACTGGAATTCAACGATATACAAAACTATTTTAAAAAAAAAATCATAAAAATAAATACACGAAATATGTTAACAGTTTGATAGGGAATTAAAAATCCTTTAATTTGATGGGTTACTCGGTATATTTATTTTAAAAAACAAAATAGATATATCGAAAAAACACTTTTGTCAAGGCAATCTAGATCACAGAGTTTTTTCTCGATATCTTCGTTATTTTTAATCGAATTTTAACAAACGATACACCAATGAAACGAGAATGCAACGGTCTGCAAAACTATCATTAAATCATGCATATATTCGTAAAAGTGGACAGCTTCAAAGTGACAAAATTTTCGCTTTGTAGCCTTTAAGACTAAGCCCCGGACTAAACGTAATAAGACTGAGCAAGCTGGCCGACGAAACCGGTAAGTTCTACTTGGGCCAGGTGGCGCTGCACGTCGGCAAACTGGCTTTTGTTTCCGCGACGTTGCCGCACCGACTGGCGATCGAGGTCAAGGAGGAGAAGCCGACGTTGCAACTGAACAAACGCACGCCGACGCTGATTTCCGGCGTCGAGCAACTAATGAACATCATCCTGACAGTCGGAAGCCACCCTATCGATCCGGTAAGTACAGTTTTTAAATTTTAACACATAAAGTACATAGATGAAGCCATGGTACAAGAAAACAAGTTTTTGTTCTTCAGTAGGACGAATTTTGGTTCACTTTGCGCACCATCCAGTTACCGCCATCTTACTTCATTTTCGCCTTTGAATTTAAATGATATTTTAAATTTAAATATTATTCTCTTTTGAAATCCATCCAAATTTCTATAAAATTTGATTTAGATTAAATTGTCGAATAATTTGAAGATCACACGTAAAAAAGTCACAATATTAATATTAACATTTCAAGAAGATATAATATTTACTCGTGAAATGAGCCAAGAAAATTTAATTTTAGTTTTTAGGTTAAACGTTTTAAATAATAGGTTTTCAAATAAAATTTTAAAGTCAAATGTTTTTAATAAAATAAAATATCCTGTTTTAAAGCAAATATAAAGAATGAAATGAAAAGTGTCAAGTTATAACATTAACATTGCAAGAAAAATGTAAACAACATATTTTTTCTAAATTTATTACATAATTGTATTTACAAATAATTGCAATTTAGGTTTGTTGAAAACCCTAAATTGGCCACCATTGAATAAAACAAAAACAACAAAAAATATTGTATCATGGTATGGTAAAGCTGGTTTTCTAAAGCTTTTGGGATGTTTCAATCCCAGCCATTTCATTATCCATGCTGTTTTCTGTTAAGGATTGTCTTTGAAGATCATTAACTTCCTTGTCTTGGCACATTTCCTGCACAGTGCAAAAAGAAAGATTTAATTTTGCTTTTCAAATTTTATTTTAATTTCTTACAATGCAGTACTTGATTTCTTAGAGTTTGTCCTAGTTTTGTCCTATTTCTTGTACCTACACTTAAAATTTCATTTTATTTCTTACAAAGGAATTGATTTATCTTTTAATAGATCAGCTGTTGAGTGTTAAGTTGGAACTGTATCCACTGTTAAAGACTTTTTTATGGGAATGTTAGTATGTTTTTTTGATTAATTTTCCTTCTTATGGCAACTATCTTCAAAACAAACAAAACTATTAACCTAAAACTTTAACCTTAATTATTTTTTTATTTATATATCTGTCACAGATAACACTGTGCGTCAATTTTCGGGTCATCGAAATCAAACCGCACCGGACTATTTTTTTTCTGAAAATATACCTATCCATTGGATAGTATCCAATAGCAAAACCCATTTTGTAAACAACCTATAGCAAATTTTTGGTACCAAATATTCGTAAAATTAAATTTTTTTTTCAATTTTTTGATAACATTCAAAATTTCTTGCTACTTCTTCTGGCAAAAATGTTGTAAAATGCACTAGAAGAAGTAATTTATAAAATACGCACTCTACACTGAACTTTAAGTTTGCTTATTTGCTGGAAAACAATGTTTGAACAAGATTTTCCGAAATATTCATCTTTTCACACGCAACACCAATTTTTTTGCCGAAATCTTTGGAAAATCTGTAGGAAATAATTGAATAGATAAAATACAATTGTAGAAAAGTACAGAGAGTTTGATTTTTTATTTTGTATTAATTTTATTATTAAAAAACTTTTTCATATCAAAACATAAAGTATTCATTGCTGGATAATTCCATCCCTTCCTCTTCTCCTTTATTTTCTTGTTCATCATTTTCATTTTTTGATCTATCACTGGAGAATTCAATCCCTTCCACTTCTTCTCCTTTATTTTCTTGTTCTTCATTTTCATTTTCTACCTGATCATAGTCAAAAATATGTTTAATCCACCAACATTTCGGCTAGTATGGCATCTCGAGCTCGTTTGGCATCGCAGTTTGATGATAACGCAACCCTGCTTATCTGACTCAGTCGATAACTGTCGACTGAAGTAGTCCAAATGGCGACGAAGGAAATGAATTTTTAGCGACATATTAACTGCAACTATTCCAACGATGATTTCTCTTATAGACGCACACTGTAACCAAATCGCAAAAAGTTGGCAATAACTTAAGAAACAGTTCGCACACGTTGAAAATGAGCTTACTTATGTTTTTGAGGTCGCTGATTAAGAATTCGTTATTAGTTTTCCGAAATTCAAAATGGCGGATTCAATATGGCTGACCAATTCTAAAAAAATCTTTATTACCTTATAAATCAGAGGACTGATGTATTGTAGGTCGCTAATTAAGGATTTAGTATTATTATTTTTTTTATTTTTATATGACGAAACCAATATGAGGAAATAAATGCTCAAAAAAATGGTTTAACGACTGAAAAATTACAATTGGTATTCCTTAACATTAAAATATAATACTTTTAAAATTAGGCGGATACTTCGATCATTTAGTCATCGAATTCATCGACGAATTCGTCAACGAATTCTTCAAAAGTTGGTTTATCCAAGTAATCTTCATCGTATCGTCTCCTTCTTCAGTGACTTCCATGTCCTTCGAATTCTGCGACTCGTAAAATCCTTTCTTAGGTTTAAGAAGACTTATAGCGCCTGGAAGCAAGTTAGGGCCTTTTTAGGCCAGGATTTTTGTAGGCTAAAAATTAGTGGGTCCGAAGACACCAACAGCCGGTTAAAGACGTCATACAAATTGTCTCTTCGTGATGTCTTGCGGCTGAATCTACTGCGATACTGTCTACAGTGTTTGTTCCGGGCTTCCTGCGCATCCTCGGACAACAGCCCGATTGGAAATTCTGTATGAGAGATTATTTGGTGGCCGTGAATTAATATTTTGTGGAGTGTCGGTGACATTGGATACCACTTGTACAAAGCGATATATTTTTTCGCGGTATCTAAACAATATTCTCTGTATTTCTCTACATCAACACAAAAGCCACTAGATAAAACCTGTAAAATTTTGTAAACTCTGCGAATCAATTCAGCGTCTAATCCCAAAATATCTGACAAAATTTCATAATTTCTAAAAAAGGTTCTGGCAGAATTTCCATCATTTGTATTGCCAGTTCCTTGTTTAGGGCGACCGACAATTAAACCTAAACGTTCTCTAAAACCATCTTGAATTACTGCTTTGGCTCGTGCAAGTTCTTGTTTCGCATCTGCTCCGCGTGATATCCAAACTTCATTTTTCTTTCTGTACGCTATGTTTAAAAAACATTGAAAACAATTTATCCACCCGTGTAGAGTAGACGCTAGATGAGGCGCCTCAATTTCTGTTTGAAGAACTAGGTCCAAGTCATTGAATTTTGATTGAGTCAATTTGCACAAATAGCAGCGCTGAGCTGATGAGGTACCACTTAAAGTATTAACAATTTTTCCATCTATCATTGTAAGAAAAAGTTTGTACTCAACGGTCAGCCCGGTCATGTATTGAACAGTTGGAAAAGGTTCAAGAGATTTAATTTGTTGCTCAACATCGTTTTTAATCTCGTGTGTTGACGCTACTGATTCATGACAAAATTCTACCCTTAGAGGTCTGCAACAACGTGGAGACGAAGCTCGAGGATTTTTCCAGACAATAATTTCATTATTCGATTGTTTTAAAATAGCTACTAATTGTAGAGGAACAATTGAAGTAAAAAAACGCTAGCGTCAGACTTGTCTTTATCATTAAATTTTTGCTTTTACTCGCTTTGTCCGGAACTGCAATCGCATCCATATTTTACAAATAATGTAAAATGACTTATTAAAGATTTGTCTAATGTTTCGAAGTTCAAAAATACGACTGGTTATGTGATTTAACAAAGATTGTAACTTTACTTCCGCTTTTGTCTCAGTTACTTCGATATCAGGTGGGTAACAACGTTTTTTAGCTTCTACAACTGTGTTCCATGGTGGAAAAAAATCATTCTGAATTCGGAATGATTTTTTTTCACCATGGAACACAGTTGTAGAAGCTAAAAAACGTTGTTACCCACTTCATGAAGTAGATTTTGCACATTTCGAATACTTTGATACGTTTTATGCGATATTTCTCCCTCAATCATAGTGAAAAGTGCTATATCTCCATCCATCTTAAAAGGAACCGCCTTTTTCGAAGCTGAAAGAATTACCTCGTAATTTTTGTCTGCTTGTTGAGGGTTTATTGATGCACTCTTCACAATTTTTGCTACTTTGGGAGCCCCAGACGCACGTAAGTTCATTGGAGCAGCATACAGCATTTCATCGTTGGGTACAGTTTATGTGGGTTTTTGGTATTCTCTTTTTTTGATTCTTCGATGGGGGAGCTCTTGGTGCGCCACTGATTGTATATTTATTTAATAACTACAACCTAGCCTAGTCAGATTTTTTCATACACGTGCTAACAAAAAGGAAGTACTATGCAAGCGCTGCTCTGAACTGTACGGCTAAATTCACTGAATTCGAAAATTTTCTTGACGCAACGCAACAGATAGGAGGTTATATCGACCTTCGGAAGGTTTCGGAAGCTAGTTTCGAAATATATTCATAAAAACACTATCAGAAACACATTTCGCTTTGAATTAGAGTGGAGTCGGGTGGAGTTTTTTATTTCACCCTTTCTTAAGGCTCGGTTCCTAGTTCTTTTATAACTGAAAAGCGTGAAGGTTTACAGCGCATTATCAAGTATCAAAGAGGCATCTAATATTAATATTAATATATTAAAATAATGTACATACCTTCAGGATTGGCCTCCATTTCGAATTGTTCCACTCGCGCACTTACACGTTGAGCTATTCACACTTTTATTACGGCGACTTTTATACCATAAAGGATGCAACGTACATTCCTTCTAGAATGTTGATCTTTAATTGGCGTACCCTGCAAGTTGCGCGCTTTATCATCCCGTTGATTTTCGGAATGTAGTAAGTGGAGTCTTCTCTACCGTATTGGCTATTCGCTAACTCGAAAGCATTTCTTGACTTATTGCCGATTTTTTGCGATTTGGTTACAGTGTGAGACGCCCACGCAACTATCTCATTGTCAAAGTCTTCAGACTACCAATTTTCGAATATCAGTACCATTTAAAACGCCTAAAATGAAATGAATATTAAAAATATATGAAATCGTTGCAATATATTTTATTGTTGATTTTAACCAAGACAAATCGTTTCGTCGAAATCGCTATTGTCAAAATGTGTAATATTCTATTTTATTTAAAAAAAAAACTACTGCTATTTAATTGTTTTTGAAATTAATCCACTTACTATCCGTAACATCAATTTTTTCAAGCCCATACTAAGGAAATGTATTGGATTTAGGTTTTTCTTCTTTTGGCATTGTTTTTAAAATATTTTAATAAACAATTTAAATCAAAATGTCAATATGGCGGCGACTGGGTGTTCCCACCTCCTGGTGGAAGCAGATTTCTTGTACCACGGATGAATCTTTTAATTCTGCGCGATAAAAATAAAACCTTCTGTCTTGCGCAGAAATCCACCATAAAACTGACGTCGTCGCGCGGGCTGTCGTTCCAAATCGGCGCCGACCGGCCGCTCGCGACGACGCTGGAGTTCGAGGTGGGCGCCAAGCCGGCGTACAGCAGCTCGCGCTACGCGCTGCGCGTGCTCGCCGACATGCTCGGCAAGGAGCACCACGTGACCGTGGCGGCGCCGTGGGCCGCCAAGCCGACGGCGGTCACTCTGAACTTTACGCCGCCGCTGACCGCCGCGTGGCGCCTGCACTCCGCGCGCCACCGCAAGTGGGTGCAGGTCAGCCTGACGGGGCAGTGCGAACAAGGCTTAACGGTGCGCGAGGCCAAGTTGGACGTCGCCGGCGTCTGCGAGGTGGACGGGAAAAACGCCTCTTCTAGTCATGTAAGTCAAATTATTGTTATTTTTCATTTTAACTCTGTCAGGGAGTTTTAACAATTGTTTTGACACACTGCAGCTTCTTCAGAAGGTAGGTATACAAACTAATATTGAAATTTCAATTAAAGTTTGTAATAATTCTGGGTAATTCCGTCCTAAATCGCAATTTTGAGAGGAAATATTTTTAAATTTATTTTTTATAAACAGTCATAATTTATAGTAATGTACTTAGTATTAGACCCTATAGGGTATACCTAAATAATTACACCTTTCATATTTTTTTTGTGTTTTTTTTTGAGGAAAAAGGAAAACTAGTAACTTATGTGATTGTCACGTATGTTACTAAAAACGCAAAAATAGATTATTTAAAAAAAAAATCTTAGTTTTACACTTTAAAATATAGGTAATTGATTATTTTACAGCTTATATGCTATTTTGTGTTATTTTAAAATAAAAAATATAAATCAAGAGAACTGTACTCTGTAACATATAAGACACGCTGGGTAACTTATATCAAAAATATAATTTATTTTTCATATAAATAACGTATATTTAGGCACCAATGAACTAGCAACATAAGATTTTTGAAACATTTTATTAAATAATTTAAATACATTTATAAACTGCACTTTCTCACTCGTTGCTTATAGAAGTTAATAAATTCCAATCCTTAACATCTAAAGACAAGAGCCTTTTGGTTACTTTTATTGGAGGTGAAATAATGAACAGTGTGTCGGTTTTTCAATACCAAATTTTGCCTTCCGGTAATGGCCAAATGTATTTATTTTCTCCAATATTTTTAAGTGCTTTAATTTCGTAGTCTTGACTATTTAAACTGCACACAACTCCGGGAAAAAAATTCTTATCATATCTAACCACAACCCACTTGTTTATCGAAAGATTAATACCATTGTTTTGGGACACTTCTACGTCCAATGCTTTTTCTTGAAGTATTTGTATTTTCTCCACTTAGCGGTAACTTATGAGACAGTAACTTATGTGACTTTTCTTGGCTTTTTAATTTTTTTAAACAAGCCGGCAACGTTTGTAAAAATAATTAAAATTGCGTGATTTACGTAATAACTTATGTGACTACTTAATAAACATACTCTTCTGATTTTTACAATAACCACAGATCTCACGTTAAATATTTAATGTTAATTGTTATAACAAAATAACCAATAAACAAATTACAAAATATATGACACAATGTAGAAAGTAACTTATGGGACCAAAACAGGGTGACTAAACTAAAGCTCAAAAAAAATACATAAAATAAATCATGTTAAGGTCAAAATCTGTTTTAAAACGAAAATACTACATTGTTAATTTGTATTTTTAGTTTAAAAATACTGTTTTTTTAATAGTGTATGTACAATTTAATTTCAAAGTATAATAAAACTGTTGGTGACAGGTAACTTATGTAACATTTTGGTCATAGAACGTAATTTTTTTTTAATATGAGCAAAAATTTTAAATTTTTTGTTAATGGCATTTATAAAAAACACTGAAAGGAGTTATTAAGTCAAATTAAAAACTATATAATTAAACTCATTGTTTCACAAAATTACGGTGACCACAAAATTACGATTTAAGATGGAATTACCCACAAACTAACATTGAAATTTCAATTTAAGTTTGTAATAATTCTGAAAAAGCTACAGTGTGAAAAAATAATTGTTAAGTTTAATAAATCAGTGAGTATCATCAACAAGTAAAGGTCGAGAAAATCTATTATAAGAAAATTTTTGATCCCAATCTTCATCAAAAAGAGTTCAGCCTTTTATCTTCATAGAATTTCGATGTGAGTATATAAAAGGTCGAACTCTTTTTGGTGAAGATTTAGACGAAAAACATTCTTTGTTGTTTTTTAGTTGATCCCAAACGGCATGTAAAAAAATATTATTTTTTTTAATTTTAACTCTGTCAGAGAGTTTTAACAATTGTTTTGACACACTGTAGCTTCTTCAGAAGGTATACAAACTAATATTGAAATTTAAATTTAAGTTTGTATAAATTCTGAAGAAGCTACAGTGTGAAAAAATAATTGTATTGTATCATCAAGTAAAGGTCGAGAAAATCTATTATAAGAAAGTTTTTCATCCAAATCTATATAATAAAGAGTTTAGCCTTTTATCTTCATAGAATTTTGATGTATTTATATAAAAGGTCGAACTCTTTTTGATAAAGATTTGGACGAAAAACATTCTTTGTTGTTTTTTAGTTGATCCCAAACGGCATGACGTTTTCGTTCATGTGGGAATTACTAATCAAACCTGGTGCCGATTCGCCCACAATTAAGGCGGAATTTTCGGTCTCCTACAAATTGGACGAGGATAGTGAGGAAAGACCTTACCGGTACTTTTTCGATATTAACGACTATCAGGTGAGCTTAAACCATACAGCCTTACACCTAGGGCTGCCAGATTTTCAAAATAAAACTTTGTAAACAAATTTGAGATTTTCAAGGAAGCCGGGAGCTTTAAGACGTTTAAAAATCGGGAGGGCTGGCAGCCCTACTTACAGTTAAGAACAATAGTGATGTCCATTTGAATGCTCCATTGTAATTGTTCTAAGTGACAAAAATAAAATTGTGAGTAATCAATGAAAATAGTAGATAAAATACTAAAAAATAATATGGAGTTGGAATATTTTTTGAGTCGTCTTGCATGGCACATAGACTATGTTTAAATAATAATTTAATATTTTACCAAATTGGGTCCAAACCCTTTGGGAATACCATGCTTCAATTACTATTTTTTCCTACTTTTTCAGCAAAAATAAATTTATGGTAAAATTATTAATGTTATTTACCTTTTTTAACTAAAAATGCCGCTTTCTTTGCGGATTGTTTATCAGAATATTTTCTTAAATAAAGGGTCCTACTAAATTTTACCATAAATTTAGTTTCGCTGAAAAAGTAGGAAAATCTGGAAAATTTCTATAAATTTAACTTTTACCTGAAAAGAGTTAATTTATCATAAAATGATGGGATACCTTAGTACTTAAAATGAAATCTGTAATTTTAATATTAAGAGCTTAAATTTTAACAGGGTCATTTTGTTATACAGTTTTATAGGTATGTTTATTATTTTTAGCCTAAAAAGTTCTTTTTAAAAGTTTTTCATAGAATAAATGTATAATAGACTGGGCCAAAAAAATCAACTATTTTTTTTTGTAAAATATTCTATGGGGTGACAAAAAAATGTGGTGAAAGTTTGAGTCCATAATATTAATATTAAGAGGTCTATCATCTCAATTTTAGATTTTTTTTTCCTGAGCGAGTTTTTGTCTCAGAACTCCCAAACCATTGAGTTTAACAAAATTGACTTTAAAAATTTTTTTGAAGAAAATTGAATGCTCTACAAAAAAGGTCTGATTGAAATTTCCCGTCAGATGAACCGCTTTCTTACAATCATGCCTTAAAAATTGGTATAGTTTTACAATTTGATCTTTTAACTTTGAAATTTTGTAATTCATGTAAAAATCAGTACCTTGAAAAAAAAACCGATAGATATTCAAATGCTCTACAAAAAAAGTTTTGGCTAAATTCACTCCATCAAAAGTTATTCAAGGTTAAATTTGAAGTCAAAACGAAATTCTTGTTTTTTCCGCTCTAGATTTTTTTTTTGGGTCAGTTAAAAACTTGGATTCTTTTATCGATGATAATCTTTATGTTATTGATAAAATTACTGAAAATAAAAAAAATAACACATTAGAATTTTTTTGCTTTAAGAAGCTATTTTCTTTAGAAAATATTATTTTCACTGTTACCTATTTAATCGTTTAAATAATAACAATCATTTAATTTTCTATTGGAAATTGTTAATTAGTTATATTTATAAAGAAAAAAAATCAAATTATCATCCATAAAAAATAAATCTACAGAGTTTTGATTGAGCGAATTTAGCCAAAAATGTTAAGAGGCTTTTTTTGTAAAGCATTTGATTTCCCATAAGAACATTTGTCGGTTTTTATGGGTACTGATTTTTACATGAATTACAAAATTCCAAAGTTAAAAGATCAAAATGTAAAACTATACCAATTTTTAAGGCATGATTTTAAGGAAACAGTTCATCTGACGGAAAATGTCATTTAATTTTTTTTGTAGAGCATTTAATTTTCATAAACAAATATTTCAATTTTTTTAAACTCAATGGTTTGGAAGTTCTGAGACAAAAACTTGCTGAGGAAAAAAAATTAAAATTGCTATGATAGACCTCTTAATATTAATATTATGGACTCAAACTTTAAAAATAATTTTTTTTGTCAAAAACATATTTTCGATATACTTTTCAAAAAAAAAATTGTCCCAATCTAATATATAAAACTATAAAAAAATATTTAAAAAAATGAACGATTTAATAAAAATACGGTTAAATATGAAATACACCCAAAATAATTAATTCAGCAGGTAGTTAATTCTAAATATAGACATATTTTTTAAAACATCTTAAGAGGCAGATGTTGACTATTTCCAAATGCTTCCGAACATTTACAATTGAGCATTCAAATAAACATATGTAGGTACTAGGGTGTTTCATTTAAAACGAAATTTTTTTTTTCTTGCTGACACATGAACATTTTGTTTTTTAAGTTGAAAAAAAATTCCCTGAAAATTTGAGCCCTTAACTTTTATTCTAAGTACTTCCTTTTTAATTTTGTAGTTTTTCCATATAAAAAGCATTTATTTTTAATCATTTTTACTTTAAATTTCTATATTTTGGCTGGGTTTTGAATTATAATTTTTATCACCATAATTTCCTGCATAGTATTCACGGTTTTTGAAAGGCCCTGCATCAATTTTGTTTTTGATTTATTTACGTTGATTGCAGTAGCTCCAAAAGTAGTTTTTTCACTTTTTCTCACATATTTTTGAGAAAATCGAGCGAATGACTGGTTTTACCGAAAAAGTTCAAATAAAAAAGTTGTAGGAAATTTAATTTTTGACTTTTTTAGGTTCTTACGTTCATATCACTAAAGTGCTTTGTTTAAGAGATATAAGCAATTCAATAACCAAAACAAAGAAAAAATAGGTTTTATTGAAATTTATGTAATTTGATTCAACAACTATATATTGCTTATATCTCTTAAACAAAGCACTGTAGTGATATGAACATGAAAGCCTTTTTTGTCAAAAATTAAATTTCCTACAACTTTTTTATTTGAACTTTTTCGGTAAAACCAGTCATTCCCTCGATTTTCTCAAAAAAATGTGAGAAAAAGTGAAAAAAACTACTTTTGGAGCTACTACAATCAACGTAAATAAATCAAAAACAAAATTGATGCAGGGCCTTTCAAAAACCGTGAATACTAAGTAGGAAAATATGGTGATAAAAATTATAATTGAAAACCCAGCCAAAATATAGAAATTTAAAGTAAAAATGATTAAAAATACGTGCTTTTTATATGGAAAAACTACAAAATTAAAAAGGAAGTACTTAGAATTAAAATTAAGGGCTCAAATTTTCAGGGAAATTTTTTTTCAACCTTAAAAACAAAATTTTCATGTGTCAGCAAGAAAAAAAAATTTTTCGTTTTAAATGAAACACCCTAATATGTACGGAAAATAGTAATATTACTATTTTCCGTAACTGTACTTCGCTGCGCGAATGAAACTGACAAGCGTATTTTCCCATCGACAGACTCTGTATCTGCTGGACGCGGACGTGGAGCCGGCCAAGGGCAGCGAGTTCTGCCGCGTCGGCGCCGTCTGCCAGCTGCGGCTCGCCATCGCGCAGACGCGGGCGTCGCGCGAGCGCTCGCTGATGTACGAGGTGCTGGCCGAGCAGAGCGTGTGGGCGGTGTGCGGCCGGACCGCCGGAGTGGTCGGGTTCGACGGCTCCGAGCTGGAGCGGCCGCAGACGGTCGCTCTGGACGTGATGCCGCTCGCCAGCGGCCACCTGCCGCTGCCGCTCGTCAGGATTTCCAAGTACATACCGGCCGAGGCCGGTAACGGTAAGTGACACCTGGATTTTACGATAGTTGTAAGATTTATCACAAGAGCTTATTTTTAGCCGGATATTTTTTTTTCCTTAAAAGCTTGTTACCTAGCAATTTGACAAGAAAAGATGTCATCAATCAAAATTGCGAGACCGTAGGTCGAGCGATTTTGTCAGATGACATTTTTTTGAGTCAAATTGCTAAAAGGTAACAAGTTTGAAAGTTAGAAAACCTAAATTTATCCTGCCAGAAAAAAATTCGACGAGATAATTTTGTGATTAATTTTTTTCATATTGCATGCCCAATCAAGCAAAATATTTGCTAAATCTTGCTGTGATATTGAGTCGAGTAGTTTGTAATTCCTCGCATTACAAAATGCCATATATTGTCGCCAAATTGACGCTTTATTATTAAAGAATTATTTGGGATACTTTTTACAATTTGTTCTTTATTGTTTTTCGCCGGAAACGACACCAAAACGATTCATTTTAAAAGTTTTTTTGACACCTGCTATTAAAAAATAATTATTTGCAAGGTTGTCAAGGAAATGAAATGACACGAGGTAAATAAATAATTATCCACTTGCAAAAGTTACCTTCCTTTTTATCCGTTATCAAAGTGACTTAAATGCCATTCAACTACGACGTTTTCATGTAAGAAACAAATTATCGGCGAAATTAACAAAAAACTACACTCACAGGCAAAATAATCGATCCACACAAATTTTCGATGAATTTCAATCGCAAATAACTTTTTTATTTGATTTCGGATTTAAACAAATATTAAAGAATATTGTAGATACATTAATGGACAATCGCTCACATTTTATAAAATTACAAAAAAATGGACTTACGTTTATAATATACAGGTTTAAACAAAAAGATGTTTTTTTACCATAAATTTAAGACACTCTGTAGAGTGGCAAAACCGTATATTGTTCTAAATTAAGTTTTATTTATCAAATCACATCTATTCTTAACAGTTTTGTTTTTGGTTCACCCCGATATATTTATTTTTGTGGAAAATATGGATTTAAAAAAAAACATTGCAATTTCCAATATTTTTCTGTATGAAGAACTAAAGTTGCTATGGTCCATCCATAGGCTATGGAGAATGACAATGACAGTTTTGTTGAATCATCCCATACTTGGACATGTCATATACGGCTTTTAAAAGCTATCAAATTGTTTTTTGTATATTAATGTGTTAATTTTGAGGTGTCTTCTTACTTTTAAAAAATTCTCCGACTGATGTTGCCCTTTGTACTTTACTTCTTATGACGTTTAAAACACTTGCCACGTAATACTGTGACCGTCCATCCTGGATTAAATTAATGGCTCTGGCAACATCAGTCGGAGACATATCCATTTTATAAAGTAAGAAGACACCTCAAAATTAACACATTAATTTACAAAAAACAATTTGATAGCTTTTAAAAGCCGTATATGACATGTCCAAGTATGGGATGATTCAACAAAACTGTCATTGTCATTCTCCATAGCCTATGGATGGACCATAGCAACTTTAGTTCTTCATACAGAAAAATATTGGAAATTGCAATGTTTTTTTTTAAATCCATATTTTCCACAAAAATAAATATATCGGGGTGAACCAAAAACAAAACTGTTAAGAATAGATGTGATTTGATAAATAAAACTTAATTTAGAACAATATACGGTTTTGCCACTCTACGGAGTGTCTTAAACTTATGCATGGTAATAAACATCTTTTTGTTTAAACCTGTATATTATAAACGTACGTATATTTTTTAGTAATTTTTAAAATGTGAGCGATTCTACATTAATGTATCTACAATATTCTTTAATATTTGTTTAAATCCGAAATCAAATAAAAAAGTTATTTGCGATTGAAATTCATCGAAAATTTGTGTGGATCGATTATTTTGCCTGTGAGTGTACTAGTTTTAGATATAGAAATAAAAATCCTGCAATTTGATGGGTTACTTGGTATCAGTGTTGCAAAAATCCTAATGTAAAAAATAATGCATTTTTCATTTTTTTTTAATGGAAATGTAATTCTAATCCATTTTCCATTAAAAAAGAATTAAGGCAAAACATTTTCAATTCTCATTAAACAATTCAATGAGTAGTGTAGCAATACATTACTCATTAAAAAGTTTGCAATAAGTAATGGAACATTTTTTTTTCGTCAGCATAAATAAAATCAAATTTTGGAAAAACTTTTTTGTCAATATGAAAAAAAATCAAATTTTCCAAAATAATTAAGATTGAAAAAAAATTCAACTTTTTAAAATGAGTAATGAAATAAATCCACATTACTCATTAAAATAAAAAATGTAATGTAAATTCTTACATTAATGAGTAATTACTCATTAAAAATTGAAAATGAGAAATGTACAAGTAATTCTCCGTTAAACGAAAAAAAATGAGTAATGTAAATTAATTTCATTACTCATTATGATAAAAATGAGCAATGAAATATCATTGCATTAAAAAAATGCGTTTTTTGCAACTCTGCTAGGTATATATAGGTCATTCCATATTAAATCACCAAATTTTAAAAATTGTATTTTTTGATTTGTTTTTGTACGTATCAAAAGACGCCTAACCCTAAATTTTAAGCCCTTAATTTTCAAAAGCCCCGAATATATGAATTTTTGAAAATCGCAAAAAAATACGATACGGTAATTTTTAGAAATTCATAACTCCTGCTTAAATTATCGTAACCTCATGACCGGTGGCTATTTTCTTCGTTTTGAAAAAAATATATAAAAACCAATTTTTTTTTCACTTTTTTTTCTTAACTTTTAACTTAACAGAGGAAAAAACAAGAATTTCGGTTTGACTTCAACTTTAACCTTGAATAACTTTTGATTGAGTGAATTTAGCCAAAAATGTTAAGAGACTTTTTTGTAGAGCATTTGATTTCCCATGATATCGGTTTTTTTCCGGGTACTGACTTTTGCATGAATTACATAATTCCAGAGTTAAAAGATCAAATTGTAAAACTATACCAATTTTTAAGGCATAATTTTAAGGAACGGTTCATCTGACGGAAAATTTCATTTAGACCTTTTTTGTAGAGCATTCAATTTCCTTAAAAAAATATATTTTAGTCAATTTTGTTAAACTCAATGATTTGGGGGTTCTGAAACCTCTTAATATTAATATTATGGACTTTCGCAATAATTTTTTTTTGTCACCCCAAACAATATTTTCGATTTTTTAGGCCATTCTATTATTTATCCCAAAAAACAAAAGATTTAGAGGAAAAAACACTTTCATAGCGTTTTCCCCCAATATCTTCGTTATTTTTTTCGAATTTTAACTTTTTATACACCAATGAAACGAGAATTGAATGCTCTACAAAACTATCTCAAAAAAACAAAAAATCAGAAACAAAACTTTTCTTTAAAAACGTCGTAACTCCACTACACCTCAAAACACCCTGTATATTTTAACCAATTTTTATAGAAAATAAAAATCCTTTAATTTGATGGGTTACTCGGTGTGTTTATCTTAAAAAACAAAAGAATAAGAGCGAAAAAACACTTTTTTCAAGGCATTCTAGATCATAGCGTTTTTTCCCAATATCTTTGTTATTTTTAATCGAATTTTAACCTATGATACACCAATGCAACGAGAATACAACGGTCTACAAAACTATGTAAAAAAATTAAAAATCAAAAACAAAACTTTTTCCTAAAACATTATAACTTTCATGTACCTACCTTAAAACACCCTGTATATTTTCAAACAATTTTATAGATAAATAAAATTCCTTCAATTTAATGGGTTATTCGGTATATTTATACAAAACAATGTCAAAAAATCAAAAACAAAACTTTTCCCTAAAAACATCGTAACTCCACTACAACTTAAAACACCCTGTATATTTTAACACATTTTTATATAAAAATAAAAATCCTTTAATTTGATAGGTTACTCGGTATGTTTATCTTAAAAAACAAATAAGAGCGAAAAAACACTTTTTTCAAGGCATTCTAGATCGCAGCGTTTTTTCCCAATATCTTTGTTATTTTTGATCGAATTTTAACTTATTATACACCAATGAAACTAGAATTCAATGCTCTACAAAACAAAAAATTTTGATAGATCATTAAGTCCTTTAATTTGATGCGTTACTCGGTATATTTAATTTAAAGAACAAAAGAATTAAAGGAAAAAAGCGCTTTTTCCACGGCAATCTAGATCTATGGATAGTCTATGGACCTAACAACAAACCTGTTGTTCTTTTAGATAAACACGGGAAAGGGGACACTCACCCCCGCTTGGAGCCGTTTAGTCCCGGCCAAGTGTACAACGCCAGTAAAGGGAAGCAGATCCACGTCATCACCCCAGTAAGTGACGGTCACCCAACATAACCTCAAACCGCTTTCCCTACGGCTCACCCTTTAAATTTTTTGACTTTACAGAAATTAAAATGAAATTTTACGCGAATTGTACATAAGAATGGATAATCTAGAAAATTTTAATGCAAACGCTGCATCACTATAAGCTTCCAAGTTGAAGCAACAAATACAGGCAAGTTCTGTTAATTTTTTTTATTTGCTTATTATTATCATTTATCTTTGTTCACTTTTTATATCGCAATTTAATACTCAAAGATACTTGATCTATGAAGAAAACAATCACAAGGAATAATAAAAAATTATTTGTTCACTCATAATAATTTTTTGACTGAATTGGTGCCACATTTTTTTGTTAATTGCTTGCCCATTATTTATATTTTATTTCATTACAATGAATCATCACATTCGTGCAATAAGTTCAAAGGTATAATTAATAAAAAGAAGATTTATTATTTTGGGTAAAAGGAACTTTATATCCATATATTCAATTTATTTTTTCTATGTACAATAATAAATAATGTATTTTTTTTTTCAATCTATTTGTATATTATTGGTGTATATATTATGTTATTATTTATATATTACCTGTAAGTAAATAAATGTATATTTATTACTTGTTAATTTGTTACCTTATTACATATTTTCCCACCAAACAAATATTGACATTTTCTGTAAAAAAAAATTTTTTTACTTTTTTGTCACCCATTTACAAGTTAACATAAAAAAACAGTTGGGTTCTGATTCTAGGAACATAAACCTGAAATAAAACCATCCAAGTAAATTGTTAACTAGTAAAATTTATTTGATTAGTTATAAATAAATAAAACAATTTTTAAAATTTAGATCTTTCATGTATGTATGTGTACAATAAAATGAATAATAAGTACATTAAAAAATTGTGCAATAAAAAAATGAAAAATACATGGCAATATGGTAAAAATTAACTACAGAAAAATTCTGTTAAAAGTTGATCACAAGTTGGAACCTAAAAATCACATTTTTGAATGTGTACTTAAATATAATATTTACAATAGTTCAATTCTGTACACTACCACAAAAATACACAATGTTAAATTTTACGATATTTTGTACTTGATCTATAGGTATAGATTAGTTACCTAATACATACAAAATTCAAAATTATAATTTTTTCAGATCTATTACACAATTATTCATATTATGTAACTAATAATCACAGTAATAGGTATGTTGTAGGTATGATCTTAAAGAAAAACTGTTTATTTTAATATTATAAAACTTAAGCATATACATGCAATGGTTTTTATAAAAAAATTAAAATAAAACTTTTGAGGTAAAGTATTGCAAAAATGCATAAAACCTATGCACAAAAATAAAGCAAAAATTATGTAAACTATAGATTAAATTTGCGATCTATGTACAGTGTATATTATACACATCTCTAATAATCTTTACATTTTAAAATAAAGGAATCTAAACATCTATCACTGGGCCTAGTCTACAAGTGCTACGTCATATTTTTAGGTTTATCTTCGATACCGCGGATTTTTCGATAAAATGGTTAATTTTGTTTTTAACAATTTTTATTACCAAATATCGCCAATTTATATTTTTAAAATGTTAAATTCAACAAACTGCCTAAAACTCACCTTTTCTATGCACTGCACTGGTTTCATTGACAGAACTCAAGTCAATATCAAATAAAATATTTTACATTTTTCATAAAATTTCATTATTGATAAGTTTTTGCTTGAACAAAAACTGATTTTCATCAACAAATTTTCAGTCAAAAATTTTCAGAAAAATCAAAATTGCAAATTAACCATAGACAATAAAATTGATGTCTCGGATTTTAAGGGCGTTTGAAATCAAGAATGAAATTTTTTAAGAAATGTAAAATATTTTTTGTTTCCCCAATATTTTAACTTTATAAAAAATATTTTGGGGATTCCCCTCAATTTTTGAATTAAGTTTCAAAGGGAAAATCTTTTTTTCGAAAAAGCCGCGATACAGAAAAATCACCATTTCTTGTGCTAACCATTTATAAAGGCCATATTCAAACACAATGTAAAATATTTTTTGTTTCCCCAATATTTTAACTTTATAAAAAATATTTTGGGGATTCCCCTCAATTTTTGAATTAAGTTTCAAAGGGAAAATCCTTTTTTGAAAAAGCCGCGATACAGAAAAATCACCATTTCTTGTGCTAACCATTTATAAAGGCCATATTCAAACACAATGGTATTGCTCAAATAAATCACCGTGAATGCAGAGATTTAAAATTTCCGGAAAAATTGATCTCACCATAATTGAAAATTTTTTTTTACAAACTTGTGTTTCGGTAAATCCCCGAAAAAATAATTCATGTGTCCCTGAAATATTGTACCAAATGATTCCTAAGACCAAAATTATGCGACACAACTAAATTTACTTAATAAAGTTATTTAATAAAATCGAAAAGGAACTTTATATAGAAGTAAATTTAGTTATATTGCATTATTTTGGTCGTTGAAATATGAGGTATTATTATGTACATTTTAGGGTTTTATTCGATGAATTTTTTCTCCAATTTTTCCGTTTTTTTCCGAATCCTAACATCCCTACGTTGTTGATTGCTCAAGAAATATTGTCGATACGAAATTGACCACTGATTTAGCGCTTCGTTTTGTAGAAATATAAAATCCGTATGAACCGCTGGATAAAATAAAGCATATTAAGAAAAGACTTCCTCATCTTTCGTTAATATTCCTTATTTTGATGTTTTTGGCTACCGGCAATACGCTTCGAGCATCTCCAAAAACAATTTGTTCATGGGCACCAAATCTTGGCTGTGCACGTCGGACCAAAACCTCCTCACCACGTGATCTGCCTGCCTTAAGGCGGGCATACACAGAAGGAGGTTTTGCATTTGTGAGAGAACACCTGTGGGCCTGAAATAATAACAAAAAATTACTTTATTAATTAATAATTAACGAAATAATTCGTTTTTTAATTTATACTGGCGCAAAATGAACATGATAATATAGTGCCAAATAAAAAAATGACTTAACAATAAAATTAAAATTTATAAGTGGTAAATCACTTATACTTATGTATATTCTTTATTTGAAGAGCTACAAGGTCGGTAAATTAGAGAAAAGTTGCGTTAAAAATTGGGAAAATTATTTGAAAAAAACTATAAACCTGTCAAAACCAAAAATCGTTATAACTTCGTTATTCCTGGGAATTTTGTGAAGAAGTAAAATTTAGATGTTATCATACACATTTATCTACATTTTCATCAAATTTGTAATTTTTTTTGCCCACTAAATTTTGAGTTACCACCAACATTTTTCGTTTTTCCTATGGTCGCCAAAAAATTTTTTATAACTAAACAGTTCTCAAGAGATTTTTAACTGACATGATAATAACAGTCCATCATTTTTATTGTCTATGGTTAATTTGCAATTTTGATTTTTCCAAAATTTTAAACTCATTTTTTTTTATAAAAATTATTTTTGGCCAGTTTTCGTTCATTTGTCATTTCTCAAAAATAATCGTTTCTATTGACATGTTCAAAGCTATCGCCAAAAATAAATTTTTTATCGCCGTTGTATGCATTTTATAAGTTAAAAATTTTATTCTTGAGATTTAAATGTGTACTTAAATATAATATTTACAATAGTTCAATTCTGTGCACTACCACAAAAATACACAATGTTAAATTTTACGATATTTTGTACTTCATCATAGATATAGATTAAGTTACCTAATACATACAAAATTAAAAAATTATAATTTTCAGATCTATTACACAATTATTCATATTATGTAACTAATAATCACAGTAATAGGTATGTTGTAGGTATGATCTTAAAGAAAAACTGTTTATTTTAATATTATAAAACTTAAAATAAAACTTTTTGAGGTAAAGTATTGCAAAAATGCATAAAACCTATGCACAAAAATAAAGCAAAAATTATGTAAACTATAGATTAAATTTGCGATCTATGTACAGTAGGGTGTGCCAAAAAAACTCGATATTTTTTTTTCTTGCTCTCCACCCAAAATATCGTAGAATAGTCCGAACAAATATTCTGTTAAAAGCGGAGCTCATAATTTCAATTTTAAGAGGTCCTTCATCGATTCTGAACTTTTGCCGCTGAAATAGCACAGAAAACTGACTTTTTTACCTTATTTATTCTTGCTACCTAGGAAGAAATTTTTTTTTCATGAAATCCATGACTAATTCTTAGAAAGCATTAATTCTGGACAAAAAAATCTTATTTTGCCGAATTTCTATTTTCATTATTTGATTTTTTACAGAGCTATAAATTTAAAATGTTACGTTTTTTGCCTTTTTCAGCTAAACCATTGAAGTTAGACGAAAAAGTCAAATGGAAATTTTTTAGCTTGTCTGATGGACCACAAAAAAGTTTTAGGCGAATTTTTTGTATCGTCAATATTCTAAAAGTTACAGGCGTATAAAGTCATCATTTTCGTATTATTAACTTTTTGTTAGTGAAATATTAATGTTAGCATATAATAATTACAGATTCAGAATTTTTTGTACGATAATAGTTAGTAAGATATTATTATTAGTATTTTAAGCGATAATTCACTATAAACAATGGAATAAGACATGAAATTATTATAAAATTTTGTATCTATTGTCAATTGTTTATCTGATTTACTTAAAAAAACATAGAAATAAGCTTAAATAAGTCTGTAAATTTTAATGGTTGACAGAACATCAAATTTTACTAGGACAATTTTTCCGAAAAATTCATTTTTTTTTTTATATTTCTCTATTGAGTTTTTGTGCTAACATTAATATTTCACTAACACAAATAATACAAAAATGATGACTTTATACGCCTGTAACTTTTAGAATATTGACGATACAAAAAGTTAACCTAAAACTTTTTTGTGGTCCATCAGACAAGCTAAAAAATTGCCATTTGACTTTTTCATCTAACTTCAATAGTTTAGCTGAAAAAGGCAACAAACCTAAAATTTTAAATTTAAAGCTCTGTAAAAAATCAAATAATGAAAATAGAAATTCGGCTTAATAAGATTTTTTCGTCCAAATTTAATGCTTCAGTCATAAATTTTATGAAAAAAAAATTTCTTCCTAGGTTGCAAGAATAAATAAGGTAAAAAAGTCAGTTTTCTATGCTATTTCAGCGGCAAAACTTCAGAATCGATGAAGGACCTCTTAAAATTGAAATTATGAGCTCCGCTTTTAACAGGATATTTGTTCGGACATATTCTACGATATTTTGGGTGGAGAGCAAAAAAACAAAAATATCGACTTTTTTGGCACACCCTAATGTACAGTGTATATTATACACATTTCTACATTTTAAAACAAAGGAACCTAAACATCTATCATTGGGCCTAGTCTACAAGTGCAACTATCATTTTTTTAGGTTTATCTTCGATATCGCGGATTTTTCGATAAAATGGTTGATATTGATGGAAATGGTGTTTTTTACAATTTTTATTACAAAATATCGCCAATTTATATTTTTAAAATGTTAAATTCAACAAACTCACCTTTTCTATGCACTACACTGGCTTTCATTGACAGAATTCAAGTCAATGTCAAACATGAAATATTTTACATTTTTCATAAAATTTTATTATTAATAAAGGTTTTTGCCTTAACCAAAACTGATTTTCATCAACAAATTTTTAGTTCAAAATTTTCGGAAAAATCAAAATTAGAAATTAACCATAGACAATAAAAATGTCTCGGATATTATAGGGGTTTGAAATCAAGAATGAAATTTTTTTATGAAATGTAAAATATATTTTTTAATATTGAACACAATCCACACAACAAGGTCTGTTCTATCTTGTACTAAAAATACAAAAAATCACTGCAACACTGCACAGTTTAACGGCGGCCATTTTTGTTGTTTACAATTTTTGTGCTTTGGGTTTGTGCTCTGTTTATACAGATTAATAATCGTTTTAAACGTTGTGTTTCTCATAGTAAGCAGGGATGCCAGAATAAGGCCTCTTTTAAGGCTTACTATCAGGGATGTCAGAATCTTTCAAAAAAATCCGCTAGATTTTGTTTGAATCCACCTTAATCACAAAAATGACACATTGATACAATGCAAATTGTCAATTTGACGTTATTCATTATTGTTGAATGGTTAAAGTGCTAAGAACAACCATTTTACTCCTCTATGTAAAAAATAAACTTTATTCTATCAGAGCCGTCATAAAACTGTCAAATGTCAATTTTAAGGTTAAATTATAACCCACAAATTAACCTTCAAATTGTCATTTGACAGCCCTGATAGAATAAGGTATATTTATTATAAAAGAGGAGTAAAATGGTTGTCCTTAGCACTTACAGGCCTTATTTGAGGCTTACAAGTGCCTTTGTAAGAAGCACAACGTTTAAAACAATTATTAAACAGCACAAACCCAAAGCACAAGAATTGTAAACAACAAAAATGGCCGACGTTAAACTCTGAGAAGTGTTGCAGTGATTTTTAGTATTTTTAGCATGAGATAGAACAGACCTTGTTGTGTGGATTGTGGTTATAACGATTTTTTGTTATACAGGTTTTTAGTTTTTTATAAATATTTCGAGAACCGCTGGATTTTTTCCAAATTATTAATTTCATTTTAATAGACTTGAAGTTACGCAACTGTTCTCTAATATAACCGACGTTGTAGCTCTTCTCTAAATAATAAAGATAAAATGTTATAGAATTAACATTTTTTGCAAAACTATTTTTTGCTGTTTTCAACGTATTTTGCCTCATTTTAGACAGTTACAAAACTGTTTTGGGAGTTGTGGAACATTTTTAAAAAGATGTGTGTTTAAGCAACAATTTTTATTAAAAAAAATTAACCAAAATAAAAACTTACCTTAATATGGTAATGGTGTCTGAGAGCGCGTTCAAAATACTATCTCGGAACTTTTTCAACGAAGAGTATTCATCCAAACGCACATCAGAGTTCGCCAAAACAAGCGCCTTGAGGAGGTAATATTCTTCCTTGAGAATCGACAGGTTGTCGAGCCTTTCGACGGCGTGGCAACACTGCAACGAAAAACAAAAATGCAGGTGATTCTAGTTTATCCATCGTTAACGTGTATATTACCGTTTGGTACAGTTCCAGCGCCCCGCACTCCCTCGATTGTTTCTCGTCTAGCGAAAAATCCGTTGCGAACTTTAACTTTCCCAAGTTTATCGACGGCAAACTTCTGTACGCTAACGTTAAGGTAAGTATTTCCGCCCACGTGCTCTGCAACAACCGCATTTGGTCGTTCAAAGGCAGATCCGCAAAACCTGCGAATCAAACATAATAATAATAATAATATAATATAATAATATTTTATTTAATCCAAGAGATCTTTTACAGATATAGGATAGGTCAAAAATCATTTAACACAATAAAACAATGAAAGAGCTCAAATTAACCGACACAATCCAAAAAATTAAAACTCATTTACAGAGTAAAAAGCCTTACTTAAAAGTAAAGTTTTTAATTTGCAAAAAAACTTGTTTCTTTCAAAGTTTTTAAATTGTGCAGGTAATTTATTGTATAAAATTGCTCCAATATAATATGGGTTAGATTCATACAATGTCATAGAATGATTGCAATATTGTAAATTGTTGCCATGTCTGGTTGGATAATTATGATAACAATTTTGTAAATTAAATTTGGTTAAGTTTATTTTAACAAATTTCAAGATTTCAAAAATAACTAAGGAAGAGAGTGTCACAATTTACTCATATATTATATATAATATAATATATACTAGGGTGGTCGTTAGAAATTAAATTTTTTTCGACGCCCCCTAAAAAGCTTGTTTTTGATGAAAAACACTGGGAATTTTTTTTTTTACTTAAAACCAAAAAAACCATACTATACGAAAAAAATACCAAAAAATTAACTTAGATCGTCTTGAGGCACGTGTTGTTTTTAGTTAAAACAAAAAAATCCCAGTATTTTTTCATCAAAACGAAGCTTTTTAGGGGGGCGCGCAAAAAAATTAATTTTTAACGATCACCCTAATATATATGGGGTATTCCAGGCCAACTCGACCACTTTTAAACCCGACCCCTTTCGATCTGGCCAAAAGTTTTCCATTCTTTTCTACCCTTTGAAAAATATTTTTTAAAATTTTTCCAAATTTTTTCATCCAACCCCAAAAAAGTTTTAATTTTTTTCAAAAATTGACCTTTTGGTATCTTTTTTTGTTGAAATTTTTGATTTTAAATGAGTGTTTCGAAAAAATAGACAAAAAAAATTTAACATAATCAACTCTATGAAATTATCGATTTTTTTAAATAAAATCGTTATTTTTGCGAAGTTCGCCATTTTTTATTTTTTAACATTTTCCGGCCTTATTCTCAAAAACACTCGTTTGACAGCTGATTATTAAGATCCCAATACAATACAAAAAGTCGTATTTACTTACCAGGTATTTGCTTAGCCCATCCAATTATACCAACTAATTCCCTATCGTACAGGTCGCTGAGTAATGAGAGTGTTCGATTTTTCGAATTTTCTAAAGCCTTATTTATATCTAACCAATCCGGTTCGCAGGATATCAATGCATCCAACATTTTTATATCTAAAAAAAAATTTTTTTTATTCGTTTTATCCTTTTTTGGGAAAAACAAATGCACCGATATTCTTACCGTTTAGGAGTAGGATTGGTCTCTGCGCTGACACGACTTGCACCTGGTAGGGGCTGTCGGGGTTCCGTCTGTATTTCTGCCGGCCCCCCCGCACCCTGTCCAATCGCACGCCCTCTTTCAGCATCCCCGATTTCAGGCATTTCCTGAACCGACACGCCTGGCAAGCTTTCCGTCTTCGTTTGTTTATCTCGCATTCTCCTGAAGCTGGGCAAGTGTATTCAATGTTACCTATAATAAAAAATGATACCGTGACAAGTCGTTGATAATCTTATAAAAATTATTGTGAAAGTTTGAGACCATAATATTAATATTAAGATTTTAAATTTTTTTTCCTAAGCGAGTTTTTGTCTCAGAACTCACAAACCATTTAGTTTAACAAAATTGACTTAAGAATAATTTTGAAGAAAATTGAATGCTCTACAAAAAAGGTCTGATTGAAATTTCCCGTCAGATGAACCGTTTCCTTACAATCATGCCTTGAAAATTGGTATAGTTTTACAATTTGATCTTTTAACTTTGGAATTTTGTAATTCATGTAAAAATCAGTACCCGGAAAAAACCGATAAATATTCTTATGGGAAATCAAATGTTCTACAAAAAAAGTCTCTTAACATTTTTGGCTAAATTCATTCCATCAAAAGTTATTCAAGGTTAAAGTTGAAGTAAAATCGGAATTCTTGTTTTTTCCGCTGTAGATTTTTTTTGGGTCAGTTAAAAACTTGAATTATTCTATCGATGATAATCTTTATGTTAATTAATAAAATTTTAAAAAAATTATAACATTCAAATTTTTTCGCTATAAGAAGCTATTTTCTTTAGAAAATATAATTTTCACTGTTATTTAATTGTTTAAATAATAACAATCATGTTGTTTTTTATTAGAAATTGTTAATATAATATAATAAACATTTATAAAGAAAAAAATCAAATTATCATCCATAAAAAAATAAATCTACAAAGGAAAAAACAAGAATTTCGTTTTGACTTCAACTTTAACGTTGAATAACCTTTGATGGAATGAATTTAGCCAAAAATGTTAAGAGGCTTTTTTTGTAAAGCATTTGATTTCCCATAAGATTATTCATCAATTTTTTTTTTGGTACTGATTTTTACATGAATTACAAAATTTTAAAGTTAAAAGATCAAAATGTAAAACTATACCAATTTTTAAGGCATGATTTTAAGGAAAATTTCATTTTAACCTTTTTTATAGAGAATTTAATTTTCTTAAAAACATATTTCTATGTTAATTTTGTTAAGCTCAATGGTTTGGGGGTTCTGAGACAAAAACTCGCCCAGGAAAAAAAATTAAATTAATGATAGACCTATTAATATTAATTTTATGGACTTTAATAATGTGAAAATTGGTAAGTTAAGGTATTTGGGGTCGCTGGTCACAAATTTGATATTAAATTTATCAAATTCGAATTGGAGGGCCAAAAATGGCGGACTTCTTTGAAAAATAATTAGTTTATCGCCCAGAAAATGTTAATATTTGGGTTTTTAGGGTCGCTGATAACAAAATCATCAAATTTAAAATGGAAGGTAATTTTCAAATCGACTTTAAGCGAAAATGGAAATACGTTCAACAAGAGGACATTTTTTGTGTGTAAACCTCCATAATAAAATAATCTCACATCAAATCCTGGAAAAAGATACGTACAAAAAAGTTAGGGTGGTTTTAACCTTACTCTCTATCTATCTGACCCTTAACCCTCATGGAAAATTTGAAATTGATATTATTTTATCATATTGGCCATAAAAAGTTTAATCAATACCCACAATTTGTTTCTATCTTAAACGGTTTTGTAGATATTAAATAATAGTATATTAAAGAACTAATGTCATAAGACGTCATTTTGTCGCACGCGGACAATTTATTTTGGACGAGTGCAACAAAAGGTCTTATGACATGAGTTCTTTATGCTATTTTATCTATTTTGCAAAAATTCTAAAAAAATAGATTTTATACCTTAAATTTAATTTGGTCGAATTTTACTTTAGATAGTTGGTATCACAGTCTTTGGTTTGACAGTTAATGTCAAAATCGATTCGCAATGCCGTCCTTAATTTACTTATTTACAATAAGCGGCTGTTAATATTAAAGAAGAAAAAAAGGATTTTCTTTGGTGTTAAACAAAATTTATTGCCATAAAAGTCCCGTAAGTACTAGAAAAATCATAAAAATATTATAACCAATATGCGAAATATTATGCTGTTAAAAGTATAGCCAACCTATAAAATCAAAATTTTGGGTGGGATAAAGTATCTCATTACAGCACTGAAAGCGGTGTTACAATGTAGTCATTATGAACGCAAAGTAGATAAAAACCATTTTCAGGGACTTCTTTTCTTATTTTGTACGTAGAATCTGCTGTTAAAGTTTTGCATGTTATATATGGGACACCCTGTTTAATATAGAAAAAACTGTTAACATTCATTAGAAAATATCACTTACCTTGTATTGTCCTTTTAAAAAATGCTTTACAAGCTTCACATGAAGCAACTCCATAATGAAATCCTGATGCAATGTCACCACAAACCAAGCACAGTCGCCTAGGTGAATCTTCCTCTTTCATTTCACCCTAAAAACATTTTTCAAATACAGTTTTGCTGATAAAAAATTTAAAAAAGTTGTTACATTAAATATTGCGTTTTTTCACTTTTGGTTCAGAATTTTGGCTGGATTTTTGATGTTTTGAGCCTGTTTTTTTAAGTTTTGCGTCGTTTTATCTCTTTAAGTTGGCAACAGGTTTTTAGTCACGGGCTGAAGTTAGTTTTAAGTAAAAATAAAGTGCCCTAGAATTACAAATTTCAGGTGGAGACTCTACCGTGAAGTGTCCATAAAACATTCACTGTGAGAAACTGCTTCTATATTAGGTTGTTAGTCCATTTTTAAGGGATACATTCTAAAGACTAAAAATAATTTATAATAACCTTTATTCTATCAAAAAGTACGCCACTGATTGACTAGGAACTTTAGGCTAATCTGGTTGCCTATTTTAATTTATTATGTTATGGTTGGTAACAACCAGCCCAGATTCTGTCAAAAAAGTTGCCAAATTTTGTTTAAATTGAGCTTAATTACAAAAATGACAAAATAAATAATGCAAATTGTTAATTTGGCGTTTTTATTAATTGTTTATTATGTCATTTTTGTAATGAAGTTAAATTCAAACAAAATTTGGCAACTTTTATGACAGAATCTAGTGCATTTCTTTCAAATTTTAGGTTATGTGCTCAAATTGTAAATATCTAAGGGAAGTGAATATGAATTCAATTGTTTTTTTTTCATATTTCGGAGGTGTTTTGACGTTTTTAGTATAGCTTGAAATCTAATTTATCGATTTGGTCAAACAAGCCCTTAAATTGAAGATATTTGAGCCCTCTAAACTTTCTTTTACATACTTTTGATATCGGATAAGTTTTTTGACACTAGCGATTTTAATATCTAAAATATTCGTTTTTATGGCAAAAATTTAGGTCGAAAATTTACATATCGTCCTGGGAAAGGTTTAAATGAAACATATAACTCCAGTTTTTTTTCGTGAAGCTGACATTTTTACAAAGAAAAACAAGCTAATGTTAATAAAAATACATGGAAAATGCCGAAGTTATGAATTTTTTAGTGGAAGACCAAAATTCGGCTTTTTGACGATTTTTATTTAATTTTTTTTTTGTAATATGTTTATTCTTTAATGAAAACCTAAGTAAAGTGCATTATTGGAATTCTTTGAGTTTTTACGTACTTTTTTCACCGAAAACATTATTCAAAATTTAAATTTGACATGACTCCGCAAACGTGAATTCTTTTGTTTCTCGTGTTGGCATAGTGACATTTTAATGCTATTTTTTCATATTTCAACAAGGTATTTTAATCATGGTTTTATTTAGTTAATAAAAAGTGTAAAATGAGTAAAAGAAGTAGAGAGTTCGAGTGCGTAAATAACCCGGACAATCTGGGCGACGTAAGTGATGAGCACGGAGAACGTTTTCACCAGCAAATGAAGGCTATGGAGCGGCGGTATCGCGGCTTCTGGGATGCAGCCATGATGGGTGATTACATTTGGTCCCTCTTACGAGAAACGGAATACGAAAGCAACAAAAAAACAAAGAAGGAGACAGAATTTTTTTAAACCTATGCTTATTACAACAAAATAAAACTTTCAATATCTTCAATGTTCAATATTTATTGTTCAATATTCATATATATTTAATTTCAATATTTAATGTTTAAAATAAAATTAATGTTCAATATTAAATTTTATAAAATTGAATAAAATGAAGAAAAAAGGGTAAAAATTCTCGACAAAACTGAATTTTGGTCTTCCACTGAAAAATTCATAACTTCGCCATTTACCCATGGATTTTTATCAACAGCAGCTTATTGTTTTCCTTTAAGTATAATCTATGCGTAAAATAAATCAAACTGGGCTTATCTTTTCGATTTCTATCTTTCCCAGAAAGATATGTAAATTTTCGACCTCGATTTTTGTAAAAAAAATAACTTTTTCAACTTCATAAAATCGCCAGTATCGAACTACTGAGCCGATACCAAAACTATACAAGAGAAAGTTGTAGAGGGCTGAATTACCTTTGATTTAAGTGCTTGTTTGGTCAAATCGATCAATTAGAACTCGAAGTATACTATAAAACGTCAAAACACCTCAGAAAATTAAAAAAAAAAACAATTCATATTTCGAAAAGGCTTCCATAAAAAAAATTTTAAGTGTGATTTTCGCGTTTAGTGAGCCAAACAATACAAGAAAATCATGGTGGGCAAAACTAGTGTAATAAACGTTTTCAGGGAAGGCCCTGGAAATATTCCACCAAACAAAATTAGATATGAATCATGCGTTACATCATGATTAATAATAATAATTTATTATAGTGCTCCAATTTTTTATCTTCGAATTTGCAACCTTTGACCTTTTTAGATATACATAGTGTAAGCACAAATCCAGACCTATTTGTTTAGGAGCGCGAAAAAATAGTTATTTATGTCATTAGGTTAAGAAGTAAGGCTTTTTGTGCTAAGCTCAAGGTTTGAAGGCCGACGCGTAGCGGAGACCTACAATTGAGCGAAGCACAAAACGGAACTTCTTGGCCGAATGGCATACAACATTTTATCTTCAAAGCACTTTATATACGTCAATTTAATTCAACATCAAAGCGGCCTAACCTCACTTTTTTAGAATCTCATTTATTTATTAGCTAAAGATTACATTAAATGTACAATAATTATTATTGCTTTTAGAAGCAGTAATAGTTTTACAATACCTAGCAACATGATTTAAGTAGAATTGGATTTTTGCTATTACATTGAATTCGATTAATTGTTTAATAAATAGGTAGGTATCTAATTTCAATTTGTTTGGATTTTTATTTAAAAAATAGGTAGTTTGGAATGTTTAAGCTGTGTTTAACATTTTATTTCACTGAAAACTTAAAGCAAATTAAAACTTAAAGATAATTTAAATCGTAGAAAAAGAATCGTGCGTTTTCTTGGTTGCCTAACCTCACTTTTGTTTTATTATTCATATTTAGTTTTACAATAATGTAATGAAAAATATTAAACATTAACAGTAAAACAAACAAACTAGTGCTTATTATAAATAAATTATACCAGTTTAGTACGTTAATTTCTTAGAAAAGGATTATTTTTGTCAAAACAATACCCCTAGCGAGAAAAAATCGAACTAATTACTTGCCTCATAAATTTTTTTATCGGCCTAGGCCATAACAAGGTATTTCTTTATCGAATGTTGACAACAATAAAGTTTAAATTATAGACCGCGTGGAGATAAAATTATTTATTACCTCTATGTGCCCCATCCCTGAGTCTGTATGAGGTTGAGTGGTCGACGAACAATACTGCCTTTCCGGACTGGACGACGCCCTAATTTTTGTGTCATAATTTTCTTGGAAATCGAGCTGAACAAAATGAACATACATTATTACCAACTAGATAAACTAACACCCAAAAAATCATCGAGAGAAATTAATTTCATTGATTTAGTTTATCTCGATTTCATAACAGGCCAAGTTCAATGTAGCCGATAAAATAAAATAAAAACTCACCGCAGATTCGCTTATCACTGTGGTTGTGGTGGGGGAATACATGTTGCTATTGGACGGCGAACACTCGGTATACACGCCACTGTCGACCTCTTTTTTTATTTGCGGAACCGATTCCGGCGAAACCTCGCCGGATACGCCACTGTCCGTCATCATTGAAACCTGCAAAAAATTAATTTATGAATATCTTCAACACCCTGTATCATATAATCATTAGGGTGTTTCATTTAAAACGAACAATTTTTTTTTCTTGCTGACACATAAAAATTTCCCTATAAATATGAGCCCTTAACTTTTATTCTAAGTAGGTACTTCCTTTTTAATTTTGTAGTTTTTCCATATAAAAAGCATGTGTTTTTAATCATTTTTACTTTAAATTTATATATTTTGGCCGGGTTTTGAATTATAATTTTTATCCCCATAATTTCCTGCATTTCACGGTTTTTGAAAGGCCCTGCATCAATTTTGTTTTTGATTTATTTACGTTGATTGTAGTAGCCCCAAAAGTCGTTTTTTCACTTTTTCTCACATATTTTTGAGAAAATCGAGCGAATGACTGGTTTACCGAAAAAGTTCAAATAAAAAAGTTGTAGGAAATTTAATTTTTGACAAAAAAGGTTTTCACGTTCATATCACTAAAATGCTTTGTTTAAGAGATATAAGCAATTCAATAACCAAAAACAAAGAAAAAATAGGTTTTATTGAAATTTATGTAATTTGATTCAACAACTATATATTGCTTATATCTCTTAAACAAAGCAGTTTAGTGATATGAACGTAAAAACCTTTTTTGTCAAAAATTAAATTTTCTACAACTTTTTTATTTGAACTTTTTCGGTAAAACCAGTCATTCGCTCGATTTTCTCAAAAATATGTAAGAAAAAGTGAAAAAACGACTTTTGGAGCTACTACAATCAACGTAAATAAATCAAAAACAAAATTGATGCAGGGCCTTTCAAAAACCGTGAAATGCAGGAAATTATGGGGATAAAAATTATAATTCAAAACCCGGCCAAAATATATAAATTTAAAGTAAAAATGATTAAAAACACATGCTTTTTATATGGAAAAACTACAAAATTAAAAGGAAGTACTTAGAATAAAAGTTAAGGGCTCATATTTACTATACTATGCAGGAGATAATGGTGATAAAAATTATAATTCAAAACCCGGCCAAAATATAGAAATTTAAAGTAAAAATGATTAAAAATACATGCTTTTTATATGGAAAAACTACAAAATTAAAAAGGAAGTACTTAAAATCAAATTTAAGGGCTAAAATTTTCAGGGAATTTTTCTTTCAACCTAAAAAACAAAATTTTCATGTGTCAGCAAGAAAAAAGAATTTTTCGTTTTAAATGAAACACCCTAATAATCATAGTATATTTATATAAGGTAATTTGCCAATCTGCCAACTCGCTGAAACCAGCCTGAGAAGAGCGCTTTTGGCTACTAGCAAAATTTGATTTTAAGAATCTTCTAAGAAGATATGACCCGGAATAATGGAATATTCTTAGAACCTTCCCTTATTGCTAAGAATGTTCTTAGGGACTTTTAAAACATTCAATAGATACCCTTTTAATGATGCAATTAGATTCTTAGAAGCTTCTTAAAACCTTCCTAAAAAGCATTATAAGAATACGTTTTTGGAATGTTCTTGGAAGGTTTCTTATGGAGCTTCTAGGAAGCTTTTGAGAATATTTCCAAATATGTCAGATACCCACGTTCTAATATGTTGGATTCTACATTCGTAAAATTCTTCAGGAGGCGACAAACACGCCTCACTGTCATAATATGACAGTGAAATGTATTTGTCGTCCCCTTAAAAAATTTTGCGTCATATTAATATATATTTATTTAAAAATATTAAATAAACAATTTGACCTTTAAACCATAAGTTGTATGACATTATTTCATAAAAAATAAAATTGGAAAATTTTGTGGGATAAGTCAGATTAGATTGAAGTTGAAGATAGTTAGGATTATTCTACATAAAGATGTTAATTCAGATATAAAAAATCGGTATACAAATTAATAAATATTTATTTTTAACATAAAATAAAATATAAAAAAAGGAAATATTTCCTTATAAAATAATTCTTCATAAAAGAAAAAACCAAATAGTTCCTCATAAAAAAAAACATTTTTCATTGTATTTAAGTGGGATAGAAGATTTTATGTAAAAGCCGGATAATTTAGATACCTATAGTAAAAGTATTTTTGTTATCGAATATTGTTTTAATTTGACAAATAACTATAAAAAAAATATTTTGGGTTGTGTTTTTTACTTAGTATTTAATACTAAGTATAGGTACCTTTATACGTAGATTATGGTATATTTTACTATTATATAGGTACCTAACTGAACTAAATATGCTTAACAGAATGTTCCAGGAATATTCCTAAATGAACTTTCTATAGCAATTACTTTCTCAACATTCTAAGCATATGTTTAGAGTGGATTAATTGTTACCACTAAACTTTGCACCTTCCAAGAACCTGCCTATAGGCCAGTGAGAATATTCTTAGGATTATGCTATATTTCTTTTAAGCATGTTCTTTAGAAGAAATATCGCATGATCCTAAGAATATTCCCACTGGAAGGTTTAAAAAACATTCTTAGAATAAACTGTGCTATCAGGGCTCCTTCTAGTTGGCAACTTTTTGCCATTTTGCCAATCTGACGTTTGTACAAAACTATATAAGATATTGATTTTCTTGTATTTTTAATAAAAACCGAATGGCAAGATGGCAAAAAGGAGAAATATTTGTTTGGTTGGCCTTGAAAACAGTTTTCAAGGCCAACCAAGATTAGCTAAGATTAACAAATTGTTTAACACATTTTTTTTAAGGTGTCTCCCTTTTTAACGCCAGCTTCATCTTAATTTTTCACTCTTAAGACTTGCCCGAAAATTCCCATTTGTGTTCATTATTTATTTGCAAGTCTAGACAGTTTTCAAGGCCAACCAATAGATGCCTAAAATTAAGTAGAAAAAGAAATTCCCTAACGATTTTAAACAGGTGGTATTTACTTACTTTTATCACATTATTAACTAAATCTTCACGCAATAAAAGGCTTGGATTCAAAATTAAAATTAATTATATAAATTAATAAACCGTGACACCTGCATATACTGGTATAACTCAAGACCAAAATTTGTGGCAGAAATACACTCACAGGCAAAATAATCGATCCACACAAATTTTCGTTGAATTTCATCGCAAATAACTTTTTTATTTGTTTTCGGATTTAAATAAATATTAAAGAATATTGTAGATACATTCATGGACAATCGCTCACATTTTAAAAAATTACTTAAAAATATACGTACATTTATAATATACAGGTTTAAAAAAAGATGTTTTTTACCATAAGTTTAAGACACTCTGTAGAGTGGCAAAACCGTGTATTGTTCTAAATTAAGTTTTAATTATCAAGTCACATCAATTTTTAACAGTTTTATTTTTGGTTCACCTTGATATATTTATTTTTGCGGAAAATATGGATTTTTTTGCAATTTACAATATTTTACTGTATGAAGAACTAAGGTTACTATGGTCCATCCATAGCCTATGGAGGATGACATTAACAGTTTTGTTGAATCATCCCATACTTGAACATGTCATATACAGCTTTCAAAAGCTATCAAATTGTTTTTTGTAAATTAATTTGTTAATTTTGAGGTGTCTTCTTACTTTTAAAAATGTCTCCGACTGATGTTGCCCTTTGTACTTTACTTCTTGTGACGTTTAAAACACTTGCCACGTAATACTGTCCATCCTGTATTAAAATAATGGCTCTGGCAACATCATTCGGAGACATATCCATTTTTTAAAGTAAGAAGACACCTCAAAATTTAAACATTAATTTGCAAAAAAACAATTTGATAGCTTTTGAAAGCCGTGTATGACATGTCCAAGTATGGGATGATTCAACAAAACTGTCACTGTCATTCTCCATAGCCTATGGATGGACCTTAGTTCTTCATACAGAAAAATATTGGAAATTGCAATGTTTTTTTAAAAAATCCATATTTTTCACAAAAATAAATATATCGAGGTGAACCAAAAACAAAACTGTTAAGAATAATTGTGACTTGATAAATAAAACTTAATTTGGAACAATATACGGTTTTGCCACTCTACAGAGTGTCTTAAACTTATGGTAAAAAACATATTTTTGTTTAAACCTGTATATTATAAACGTACGTCTATTTTTTAGTAATTTTTTAAAATGTGAGCAATTGTCCATTAATTTATCTACAATATTCTTTAATATTCGTTTAAATCCGACATCAAATAAAAAAGTTATTTGCGATTGAAATTCATCGAAAATTTGTGTGGATCGATTATTTTGCCTGTGAGAGTATTAAATATTAATAAAATTGGCTTTGAACATCTAAACTAAATTTTTTGATGGTTAATTTTCCTAATAAATTATTCCGAATTGAAGTAACAAAAATCTAAAATTCAAATTCATAATTAAATTCAGCATAATATGCATAGATATCCTGTCTGGCATGTGCAATTCAATTTGAGCTTGGTCAAGGAAACGGGCTGAGAAACAAGTCAACCTTGACTAAGCAACTTGATGCGGTTTTTTTTCTCATTCTGTTTCGTTTGGTCAAGTGCAAGGCCAACTTGACACCTTCCCTCTTTCAGAGAACCAAACGAATCAGCTGCTGTGATGCCGCGGGCTTTTTGGTATCGTTTTGTGAAGAATTTTTGAAAAACGAAAAAATAAATAAAAATAACATTTCTAAGTTTACATAACTTTATTTTATTTATATTTACGTTTTACGAATAATAAGTGCTAAATTTTGGTTATCAACAATTTCAAAACTTATTTGTAAGTATCTGACGCATTAATTTTAATAATTTAATTATATTTTCCAGTGGATAAACACGACGTCAATTATTAGGTATACTAAAACATAATTAATATACGCTGTAGTTTGTGTTTCTTTAACCTTTTTGATCCCCAAAAAAATAAAATAAATTATTTTCTCGGGACTTAAGTCCCGAGAAAATAATCAAAATCCACTAGAAATTTCTAGTGGATTTTGATTTATTATTCCTTATATCATTGATTAAAAAACTCAACGCTTAAATGCTTATATAGTTACGTTAGTGTTTGTATTTTATCTAAGGGATCATGGTGA